GTTTGATAGAAATTAAAACATCTCTCTTTGGATTAAGTTAGGAGTGTTATTTGTCAACTTCGTTTGAAAAACTATGTGTTTTGAACACTTATTATAAACTACTCACGACTTTGGTGTTTTGACCTTCAGTAATATCTGTTACATATATGACTACCTGTGACCACTTTTCGGAATGTTCTAAGATTGCGGACCTGTGCACCTGTGTTATTACGCGTTGCAAGAGAGCGCCGTTTTCAAAGCGTTGTTGCCGTCAGGGTAGAATGGAGATAAACCTACAGTGTTTTGGTTCAAAAGCGCTCGGTTCAAAATTATAATAAAGAGGTATCTATTCTACAGTGGGACTACATCAAATTTCAAAACACAGTAGGTTTATCTCCTAAATGGATGACATCGTATGCTTCACTAACTGAACCCGCCTGGTTTATGTACTAATAAAACTAGATTTCCTTCGAAGAAGTCTATAATTATTAACCTAGATTGTTTGTGACTGTGCCCTCAAGGGGGTTGAAGTAACGTAAAATTATTGTCCTCCTGAGAGGGTATCATAAGACCCAATCATTCAGTTTGTTATTCCTACTGTAATTTTTAATCGCAGAATATTTGTTGATTTTAAATAGTGGCTAAAATTGACTACAATCGCCAGCAGCTGAGGCGATGGTGTAAAACCTGCTGGGGAATCGTGTAGGTAGCAGAAGTATCGTAAGTCCCCATGGTCCCTAGTATGGTGGCCTACCTTTGGTTGCTGGCGATCTACAGCCCGTTTTAATAATGTATTGTCGAATCATAGATTATTCTTTTAATTGTTCGCAACTAGTTTTACTTCTGAACTGTGATAGTCTAGTTATTATACTGTCCGTCGTTGACAGGTTTATTATTCATCTAAGTTTAAATTGTATAAATGTTCTCGTCACTATATGGCTGAAATATTGCCGATGTGACGTAAAATTTTAACTCACTCACTCACTCTTAAATATAAAAAGTGAATATAAGTATATAATCTCTTTTAACAAGCAATCAAAAAAGAGGTCAAAAGTAATGCTACCGTACACTAATCAGTGGTTCGAACCCAATCCTATGTTTCCTCTTATAATGAGGATATGTTAGTCAATCATAAATGCACACAGACAGCAGAAGTCAATTATCTGTTGGTTAGACCTTGTGGTTGGTTGGTTGGTTGGTTGGTTGGTTAACGCCGCACTCAGCAATATTCCAGCTATATGACAGCGGTCTGTAAATTAGCGAGTCTGGACCAGACAATCCAGTGATTGATATCATGAGCATCGATCCACGCAATTGGGATCGATGACATGCATCAACCAAGTCAACCTGTTAGTCGCCTTTTACGACAAGCATTGTCACCCTTTACGGCAAGCATGGGTTGCTGAAGACCTATTCTACCCCGGAATCTTCACGGGTCAAGTTAGACCTCGTGACCTGGCTGATTCGCGTGTCATTGTACCTGGTGGGGTGATCGTTATGAAGTTCCTCAAATGATTCATCAGTTACTGACTGGATTATTTAAAGGCCACCTTGATACGGCTGAACTGGCGAGAAACAGCATTCACTCGCTCATCGGAGATTGTACTCCATTTCCAGTTGGAGGACAAAGTTCTTTTATGTTATTTTCATAACCTCTAAACAAGAACGAATCGAGTTCCCTGCCACAGATGCCAAAGACCCAGGTTGGTACTTTTAGAATTCAATGGCGAGGGATGAACTCGACTTGTTCATGTTTCCTGTAGAGAAATTTTAAAACTATCTTCTGCCATATTTTCCGTTATATTGGGTGTAAAATATGCTGGAAACAACAACGAATCAAAAGTCCACGGTATACTCTGATGTGCATTATTTGTGAACGTCGGTAGTTCTCGGTGGACGTCGTAGGACGTCGGTGGTTCTCGGTTGACGTCGCAGGACGTCGGTGGTTCTCGGTTGACGTCGTAGGACGTCGGTGGTTCTCGGTGGACGTCGTAGGACGTCGGTGGACTCTCTATCCACTAGACCACGGAGAAGATAATGTACCATGGTACATGTTTGAGCATTATATACCTGCGAATCGTAGTTATTTACTGCATCGATGTTACTAGTCGCCATCTACCATTTAACACACACCTGCTAATCAGTTCTCCAGTAATGTGATGTGAGGACATGTATTTTGAGAGTTGGTTGGTTTGTTGTTTTACGCCACACTCAGCAATATTCCAGCTACATGACGGCGGTCTGTAAATAATCGAGTCTGGACCAGACAATCCAGTGCTTGATATCATGAGTATCGATCCACGCAATTGGGATCGATGACATGCATCAACCAAGTCAGCGAGCCTGACTACCTGATCCCCTTAGTCGCCTCTTACGACAAGCATAGTCGCCTTGAAAGGCAAGCAGGTATTTTGAGAGAATTTAGGAGCAAGATCAAAATAAAACCTTTTGCAAACAACAGAGCACGTGTGTTGAACCCCGCTACCATCTACAGATGTAGCAAATTCCATTTTCAACACAATGTGCAGAATGACAGGTGATTTTATTCAAAAGTACTATAAATAACACTTTATAGTTCATCAAGGTATGAACGAAGTGCTGTACCATGAGGTGTATAAAACAAATAAAAGCGACAAGACCCTTTTCATATTCATAAGAAATCTCTGCTAAAGGCAGAGTCGATTGTTTGATTCCGACTTTATAATGATCATGTGTTTATGAATCACTATCACACAGTGATGATACCAGGTGTTCGCGAAAAGGTAAGAGTATCCTTCCCAATCGGGAGCTCCCATCACAAATACACGCAAGGGCATGTCAATTGTCCATGTAAGGATCACAATAAATGTCTATTCATCCTAGAACAAAAGTACAATTCACATTTCCTTCTTCATTCTCATCTCATCATCAATTATCAATAAATAACCTCTTTTAAATTGGAAGATTGACTGCAAAGGAAAAGTAAACAATCATAATTTGCAGTTCAATATGTAAACAAAACAATAACAATGTATGACAATTACTAAGACAACAAAAGCTGACACAAGACATTAAATTTTGACAAAATAATTGCAAGAGCATTTGCACTGAAAGAATGTATACATTAGTGATTGAAAACTGAACACATTATCATTACTTCAGAAAAGTTACAAATACAACAATTTTGGAAATAAAATTGCTACAGAAATATATTAACAATGGAAAAGAAATACAAATGCATGACAACATACCGTTTTGGTAGACCCATATTCTTCTCTAACCTGACCACAAGGGTCCTTATTCACTCCTTCCAGAAACTAAAAAACATGCATGGCATGAAGCCTAAACAGAGTTACCGTCCTTGGCTAAACTCCTGAAGCATGCATAAAATAATAATCTTGTACATACTAAATTTGGAATGAAAATTTAAGAAAAAAAATTTAAACTTTAATAATTTGGAAAAATAAATAGGAATTATGTTATAGATGTTATTTTGACCGTAACAGTCCACCTGAAAAAACACGGAAACATATGACACATGCATCAAATTTCGAAATGTCCTCCATGAGTACATGAGTACGACCCGTGAAGATCCGGGCTAGAATAGGTCTTCAGCAACCCATGCTTGCCGTAAAAGGTGACTATGCTTCTCGTTAAAGGCGACTAACGGGATCGGGTGGTCAGGCTCGCTGACTTGGTTGATGCATGTCATCGATCCCAATTGCGCGGATCGATGCTCATGATATTAATCACTTGATTGTCTGGTCAAGACTCGATTATTTACAGACCGCCGTCATATAGCTGGGATATTGCTGAGTGCGGCGTTAAACAACAAACCAACCAACCAACCAACCATAAAAAAAAATGTGACACCTTTAGTGGGAGCTTGAATGCTGTAACACTGATCGAACAACCTTTGAGCAAGAGTCGTGTGACGCTCTTTGAAATCTTTGTAGAAACAGCATGCTCGATTGTATCTCAAAAGTTGTGAAATGTAAACCCTAAAGGCCCTCCACTGCTGGAATATTGCTCGACATGGTATTAATTCCACTTGTCTCAAATACTTTTTTGTGAATAAAAAGAAAGTCCTTCCTTGATTGTAATAAGGATTATGGTTAGTCTATGAGACAGGGATTTGATGGTACATTTGCAGGACACAGCAATATATCTCTCGTTGTACGGATTTTAATGAAGCTTTGGAATCCAGTACAAAAGAGGAATGGACATGTTTTCAGGTTTTAGAGTCAAGTCAAAACTTGATAGTACTGAAGTTGATAGTTTCTTCCTCAGATAACATGCTGGCCTTATATGCAACATTATTTGATATGTCAATCATACTAAGTTCTTTTATCAAACAATTAATGTTGTGATGCATAATGGATAGTTATTTGTGGCTTTGTCAGTGGGAACAACTGCAAACTATTCATGTAGGGCAGTCAGACAGCTGGCTGATACATGAATACCTCAAAATATATGTACAATCCACAACAATCCGTTGTCAACTTCATCAGCATATCATTAGCATATAGTTAATACGAATACCTCAAATGTATGTACAAGCCACAACAAGCCCTTGTTAATTAGAATATAGTTAATATGCATACATATATAAATTCACAAATAAAACACATTCTGAAACAGGGTACAATTCATCCTCGCACATCAAGAACCGAAGTGCAAACAGCTGCACCATGTTAAATCGTCTTTCATGCGTTGTGTATATTTTCACAGTCGACTTGTAAATTTATGACCATCACCTGGTCACTGACCCCTTTCTTCTGATGAACGCAATAAGCTCACCTCTACACAGCCTCTGGCCATACTGGATAGTGTTACAATGTTGATACTTTGGGCATTTACTGTTTGTAGACCCAACTTCCAGAGACCCGTGAAGATCCGGGCTAGAATACGTCTTCAGCAACCCATGCTTGCCGTAAAAGGTGACTATGCTTGTCGTAAAAGGCGACTAACGGGATCGGGTGGTCAGGCTGGCTGACTTGGTTGATGCATGTCATTGATCCCAATTGCGTGGATCGATGCTCTTGATATTAATCACTGGATTGTCTGGTCCAGACTCGATTATTTACAGACCGCCGTCATATAGCTGGAATATTGCCGAGTGCGGCGTTAAACAACAAACCAACCAACCAACCAACCAACCCAACTTCCAGAAAAAGTTGCTGGAGCCGTTTAATTTCTTTCAGTGACACAGAATATAGTCTTGTTCTTACTTTGCGCAGTCCGAGTGGTTCCTGAAGGAGAGGCAACACTTTTTCCAAATGAAAATGGTATCATTTGGCCTTCGTCCTTTCTTGTGACCTCGCCTGCGTCCGAAACAGACTCATTACTTTGATGTTGGCAGTTTGTTGGTTAGAAAGACTGCCAACGTCTTTAATTTTGTCATTACATCCACATGGCATTGCTGAACACAACAGTCGAGTCCAATGATTTTCTCTGGACATTCTATATGTCGACTGCAGTAAAGGCTGTTACATGGATGTTTATTTGTTTCTAACATTCTAACGTTCATGCAAAGGAACAGGTTTGTCTTTTTTATTTTTTGTTTCAGCTTCTAGCATATGCCGTCACAGCATTCATAGTTTAAAGTTGTGCTTCCAATTAGTAGGAGGTTGCTCACGATATTATGGTCCATATTTGAATAACTTTCATGCAAAGGATGGGATGATTTTTAGAATTGAAATGTTGGTCGAAACAATTGGAAACATTTCTGTTGATCTCAGGCGATGGAACGTCACGAACCGTCCAATGGACTGTAAGGGCATACGTGCAATTCCCGAACCTGTCAAACAGAAGCATGCGGCCCATCACTCTTATGACTTGTATCACAAAGCTAATATAATGTCTCCTAGGTACTTCCCTCACGAGAGCAGCACCTTGATGTATTGGGGCTCTTAAATCCAGCCATTACTCTTTTTTAATCCTTTCCGTTTTCATAAATTTTGTTACTGCCGCCTCTGACATGAAGGAATTTTTTCTCTTCTTATAAAATGTTTCACCAAGGCGTGTGCCAAGTTTTCGTGAAAGTGATGCTGGTCCTTCAATTGTTCTGTGATCTATTCCATCATCCATCTTCTTTCTTTTCCTTGGCGTCAATGGAGAGAGAAACGTCTTCCATGCTTCTTCATTTGATACTGGATCGAGACTGTGAAGAAATATATGTGTATTATGTATTTTGTTCAGATGTATCAGATGATTAAGCTGGTATTAACAGTATTGGGGCTTGAATGATTGGTGATAACAGTATCAAGGGATGTAGGTGTTTTGTTGTAGGCGGCAGGAAACGAATATTTACATGTGACAACTGCTCAGGAATTATTATGCTCCGTGTTAGGATTAAAAGTGAAAACAACTCAGATCAAAATCAGATCTCCAAAACATAACTCCATTGCCCACTTGTCAAAATTGATTTACAAATGGCATTATAACCAGGCATTTGGAACATTTGGTCTGATTTACAGACCGCCGTCATATAGCTGGAATATTGCTGAGTGCGGCGTTAAACAACAAACAAACCAACCAACCAAAATACCTTCTGTTTCAAGTTGAAATGCATGACTCATGTGTCTGGCAAAAGTGTTAATAATGTTACTATTAGCACAGGAGTTGTACTGCATTGAACACGTCTTTATTATGTTGGCTTCTATCACACGACTTTCTGTTTCAAAGTTGGACTGCATTGGACATATGTTTTCCCAAACCTGCAGTGATGTCATTACAACTGGAAGTGCAAAGCTTTGTTATCAGGGTAGCATGAGGCACGTTTGGGGGCCACTCCGATAAACTTTACGCGTTATCAAGGAAGCTTGAGGCACGTTTTAGGGGCACCCCGATAAACTTAAAGTGTTATCAAGGTCGCTTGAGTCACGTTTTGGGGGCACTCCGATAGACTAAACGTGTTATCAAGGGAGCTTGAGGCACGTTTTGAGGGCACTCCGATAAACTAAACGTGTTATCAAGGTTGCTTGAGGCACGTTTTAGGGGCACTCCGATAAACTAAAAGTGTTATCAAGGTAGCTTGAGTCACGTTTTGGGGTCACTCCGATAAACTAAACGTGTTATCAAGGTTGCTTGAGGCATGTTTTAGGGGCACTCCAATAAACTAAACGTGTAATCAAGGTAGCTTCAGGCACGTTTAAGGGGCACTCCGATAGACTAAAAGTGTTATCAAGATAGCTTGAGTCACGTTTTGGGGGCACTCCAATAAACTAAACGTGTTATCAAGGTTGCTTGAGGCACATTTTGGGGGCACACCTGAGAGACTCGATGACCTGATTGCTGCTCAAAATATCAATCCTTGGCCCTCTGGTCCAGACTCAATTGTTCACAAGCTGCCATCATAAACCTGGCATGTTGCTGAGTGCACACGTTTCTCGCTGCGAACAGCTGCAAAATTGCTGATGCAGCAATATTCACTCACTCACTAACTGATTCATTCACTCAATTTTCCTCGTAGACCTGGAACGATGCTCATCATTGTTTTACATTGGTTTATGTGGTCCTTGTGGGTGTCAGCTGACTGCCTTCCGAAGCGGAGACCTGTATATGATTTCCTAGCACCTACACATATTGCCTCTGCTGGGAACCATATATATTTCAACAATCATCAACATTCAAGTTAGATAATAATATCAACCGACCTGACTTGGCTTTGAGAGGTCACATCAATTTGTCTCTGCACAGGAGCCCTTCCTTGACTGCCATCATCATCTGATTGCATTTTTCTTTCATCTAATGTTGGTGTCGGTGGATCTAACTGTTGTCTCAGTTTCGACACAGCAGTATATAACGCACGGTGAAGGTGATCGTAGACATTGTGAAATGTCTTAGTGTCAGAAATACATCGGAGTGTAAGTCGTCTAAGGATTGAACCCTCACTCTTTGGCCAGGATTTTTCAACAAAAAGCTTTTCACCTTTAATCTTCAACAACATGAATCTTTCTCCGTCAGTCAGGATATTAACAATTGGTACTCGAGTCATGTCCGCACCGAAAGGAACTCCCTTCTTATACGCCCACTGTTGCAGGATGAGCAGCTGAATTACAGCCTGAGCGTACGCAGTTTTGTCTAAGGTACTATCACGCTTAACTTCGATGGCACCAATAGGTATATCTTGGGCTGTTTTCAAAATATAGTCCAGTCTGCAGTTTGGAAAGGGGTCCATGTCAATTGTCTCTTCCGTGTTCCTCCTCAAATGAAGTTGATCCAACAGGGGACTGATCATTCCGTCCACAATGTACCTAACATCTGTTTCAGTCAGGTCCCGGATGTTTTTGGTAGGTGTGCTCCTTTCGATGCCTTTATCGTAGTTGTTCCGAGCCTCTGTTCTACAATCTTGTAATATTTTCTCTTCACACCTGACCTTCCAGTCGTGTTCAGAGATAATAGCATCGCTTTGGTCATTTCCCCAATCAGACACATCTGCCCTAAAGTTAATGTGCTTGCACATCATTGGAAGAGTCCAAGAACTGACACTTGTGGATCTGTCGTTTACGCTCATTCGCTGTGTCATGAATCTCTTTTCCTTTCGTTTTTTGTTCTCAAGAGTCTCAGTACAAGTGGCTTCGATGTCCTTACGGTGTTTTTCTATTCTATTGCTAGCCATTGTCGGAATATGTCCAGCAGGAGAACTAGAGATCAACTCCTCACTCAGCTCCACAAAGAAGTGTGTCTCGTGGTGCTGCCCCTGTAGATGGTCGGAACCACCCAATAGAAGTAGTGATCACGACCTAACGCAACCCTGTAGATCGTCAGGACTGCACGCACGGCGCAAGCAGGGCTAGAGATCAACTCCTCACTCAGCTCCTCGAAGAAGTGTGTCTCGTGGTGCTGCCCCTGTAGATGGACGGAACCAGCCAATAGAAGTAGTGATCAACACCTAATGCAACTCTGTACGTTGTCAGGACAGCAGGCACAGCAGACATAATTCCAAATCATCCCTTTTGGAGGCGGCTCGCACGGCAACCTTGTATAGGTGTCGGTCAATACAAGTGCGCAGTAGAAGACGTCATTGGAAAAACCCAACGTTATTTGTATACACAACGAAAGTACAACTAGGTGTCCGGAACCAGTCAATAGAAGTAGTGATCAACACCTAATGCAACTCTGTACGTTGTCAGGACAGCAGGCACAGCAGACATAATTCCAAATCATCCCTTTTGGAGGCGGCTCGCACGGCAACCTTGTATAGGTGTCGGTCAATACAAGTGCGCAGTAGAAGACGTCATTGGAAAAACCCAACGTTATTTGTATACACAACGAAAGTACAACTAGGTGTCCGGGATAACCAAATCGTCTCCTTCGTGAGTCGACTGTATACTGAATGGGTTTGACAGATTCGTTATCTAAAACTATTAATAGATCACCTCACACTCGGTCGTTTTATGCACAGGAGTCCGTATCTAAAAATAGACGCCCTCATGCATATTCATGACCATCTCCACAAGCGAGCCCGAAGGGCGTGTGGAGATGGTCATGAATATGCATGAGGGCGTCTATTTTTAGATACGGACTCCTGTGTTTTATCACAGGAGTCCGTATCTAAAAATAGACGCCCTCATGCATATTCATGACCCTTCGGGCTCGCGTGTGGAGATGGTCATGAATATGCATGAGGGCGTCTATTTTTAGATACGGACTCCTGTGTTTTATGTAATGGCATTATTATATGGCTATCAGTATTACCAATTAGTAATACAGGTTATCGCCTCGCGTCGTTCGGGTACGATCTAGGTCAGTGTGGATTTTCTTTGCTTTTTTTTGTTTAAAGCCGCCCTCGGCAGTTTTCCAGGTATATGACATCAGGGTCATCGATCTACGCAATTGGGATCGATGACATGCATTAACAAGTCAGCATTTTTGTGTTTAACGCCGCACTCAGCAATATTCCAGCTATATGACGGCGGTCTGTAAATAATCGAGTCTGGACCAGACAATCCAGTGATTGATATCATGAGCATCAAACCACGCAATTGAGATAGATGACACGCATCAACCATGTCAGCGAGCCTGACCACCCGATCCTGTTAGTAGCCTCTTACGACAAGCGTAGTCGCCTTTTACAACAAGCATGGCGTGTTGAGGACCTTTTCTAACCCGGAATCTTAACGGGGGAGGGCAGTATGCAATTCGTACATAAATCTATATTTTAATGGGTATCGTCACATTTGTTACACAGCATAGCGCATGGGTGAATTCACCTTAGATCATCTGTCTCTGACATACAGATCTTTTTTTATGTTTTAAAATTCACAGACATTAGACTTACCTTTATTCTCAAATACACATATATAAGCACTGAAACAATAGATGAAAACATTTCTACTTGAATATATATAATAGAACCCCAATGTAGAATTATATTTTGTTTATTATCTGACATACATATTATGAAAATATTAATGTTCTTAATATTCATAGAAATTATATTTATTTTGATGCACTAGTTGTTAGTAACACACATAAACTTAACACCTTTAATATTTTCTTTGAACTTCAGTGTTAATAGAAGTGATATTTTCATTGCAGTTAACATTACACTTGATATTTCACTACAGTGAACGTAATACTTGATATTTCAATGCAGTGAACATAAGACTTCATATTCTACTGCAGTGAACATAACACTTGATATTTCACTACAGTGAACATAATACTTGATATTTCAATGCAGTGAACATAAGACTTCATATTCTACTGCAGTGAACATAACACTTGATATTTCACTACAGTGAACGTAATACTTGATATTTCAATGCAGTGAACATAAGACTTCATATTCTACTGCAGTGAACATAACACTTGATATTTCACTACAGTGAACATAATACTTGATATTTCAATGCAGTGAACATAAGACTTCATATTCTACTGCAGTGAACATAACACTTGATATTTCACTACAGTGAACATAACACTTGATATTTCACTACAGTGAACATAATACTTGATATTTCACTACAGTGAACATAATACTTGATATTTCACTACAGTGAACATAACACTTGATATTTCACTACAGTGAACATAACACTTGATATTTCACTACAGTGAACATAACACTTGATATTTCACTACAGTGAACATAATACTTGATATTCTACTGCAGTGAACATAACACTTGATATTTCACTGCGGTGAACATAATACTTGATATTTCACTACAGTGAACATAGCACTTGATATTTCACTGTGGTGAACACAACACTTGATATTTCACTGCTGAGAACATAACACTTGATATTTCACTACAGTGAACATAACACTTGATATTTCACTACAGTGAACATAACACTTGATATTTCACTACAGTGAACATAATACTTGATATTTCACTGTGGTGAACACAACACTTGATATTTCACTACAGTGAACATAATACTTGATATTCTACTGCAGTGAACATAACACTTGATATTTCACTACAGTGAACATAACACTTGATATTTCACTACAGTGAACATAACACTTGATATTTCACTACAGTGAACATAACACTTGATATTTCAATGAAGTGAACATAAGACTTCATATTCTACTGCAGTGAACATAACACTTGATATTTCACTACAGTGAACATAACACTTGATATTTCAAAAAATTGTAATTTCAAAATACAATCTTATAATTGTGGGTGTTCTATAACTTGTTTTGAGTAGTATATGATGTAACAGTGTGTCATACTGTTGTCCGTAAATATTCCTTTTGACATTTGATGTATGATCAACTTATATTGTGTCTCCTGTCTTGTGCAAATCTACAAGTATGTGTACTTGCATATAGTAATTTGATAAACAGTGAGTGAGTGAGTGTACGTTTACGTCGCTTTTAACAATAATCCAGCAATGTCACGGCAGGGAACACCAGAAATGGGCTTCACACATTGTAGCAATGTGGGGAATCGAACTGGGTCTTCGGCGTGACGAGCGAACGCTTTAACAACTAGGCTACCCCACTGCCCCCATCGCTGTGGCGTTATCACAGTTGATATGTGTACGTATGTAAACTACACATAAGGAGAGACATCCTAAATAGTGTGACCACATAGTTAAAGTTGATGCGAGTGAGTGATTGAGTTTGGTTTTACGCCGCTTTTAGCAATATTCCAGCAATATCACGGCGGGGGTAACCAGAAATGGGCTTCACACATTGTACCTATGTCGGGATTCGAACCCGGGTCTTCGGCGTGACGAGCGAACGCTTTAACAACTAAAACTCCTAAATAGGACCAGGGCTATAAATCAATCACCAGAAAGTTACTACAAAGGGTTACACCCTCCCTGGACTTTAAAACCTCCCAAAGTTGACACTGCTTTAACATCAGAATCACTTAAAGAGAAAAACCAACCCTACTACGATCAGTAGCTATCACTAAAATTCAAACTACCTGGGACAGCTGGGCCCATATATACATGTGCTTGTTGTAAGAGGTGACTAACGGGATCGGGTGGTCAGGCTCGCTGACTTGGTTGATACATGTCATCGATCCCAATTGCGTGGATCGATACTCATGATTTTAATCACTGGATTGTCTGGTCCAGACTCGATTATTTACAGACCGCCGTCATATAGCTGGAATATTGCTGAGTGCGGCGTTAAACAACAAACCAACCATCCAATATATACACATTCAGTTCGCCTGCCTGATGGTCAGTCAGTATTCACGGCTGAATTGGAGGCAATTCATCATGCACTCAAACTCATACCGGAACTCCCGGAAGCAAAGACAGTCGTCCTATCAGACTCGCTAAGTGCACTTCAAGCCATCAGTGGAAGAAAGTCAAACTCCAGGCCAAACACATTCAACAATATTCTATACGAATATACAAAACTATCGGACCAATGGCAACAGGTGGAGCTGTGTTGGATCCCCTCGCACATAGATATTCATGGAAATGAAAAAGCAGACACTGGCGAAGCTAGCTCTAGACAAAGCGGATATACAGCCTATTCCCTTTAGTAAACTAGAGATAAAAAGCAAAAGCAAAGCGTCCATAGCAAAATGATGGCAAACCCAATGGGACGCAAGTAAGATCGGCAGATGGCTATACAAAATTCAACCCATGGTCCAACAAAAGCCAAACTCATACTCAAATGAAAGGAAAATTGAAATTGCTATCTCACGCCTCAGACTTGGTCACAAAAAGCACTATGACAAGGTTTGTTCATCTTGCAATCAGGCTGAAACCATTGACCACCTGTTACTAGAATGTCAAGACCATGCCCCAGCCCGGGCTAGGTTAAAACAAGAATTGCAGTTAGATCCGCTATCTGTCATAGATCTCCTAAAGCCAAGAGATGCAATAGCGAAGGCCAAACTAACTCTAATTTCTGAGAGATGGACAGCTACTTGAACGCATATAAACAGAGCAGCCAAGGATAAAAATGAAATCATATCAATATAAGAAAAAAGAAATCATTTCAATGCGAAAACAGAAAATATGTGAACACCGAACTCACAATAGATGTGTGTACCCTTCTCACACACAGGTGTCCCAAAGAGGGACAGGTCAGCCGAAATTGCCTAGGCAGAAGGCGACCTCTAAAACACTTAATGCAACAACAACAAATGAACATATCTTGGAGGGAGGACGTCTGTCCCAAATGGCATCAAGAAACATAAATAGAAAAGTGAAGTTGTATTATGATTTTGGGCTTGCACCAACAGAAATATTGTGCTTTCTGGCATTAGCGGACAATGTTGCAATCAGTAAACGAACTCTGAAACGGGTTCTCCGTGGACTGAATCTTTCATTTTGTCAGTTACAGACTTTTCAATGCCCAGTTCATCTAAAAACATCCAAAATTGATTATCCTCGTCCATACTTCTACGTCAGTCCTTCAGGCAATACAGAACTTCAAATGTTTCGATCATTCAGTGAAATTTCACATTTCTAACTCATAATTACACATTTTCAAACATGCTTTTACACCTTTCAAAACTTGTTCTAAACTTGTAATTACGCCTTTAAATCTAGTTATTACACCTTTTTATAAGTCGTAAGTACACCTTCTTAACTTGTAATTACACCTTTATAACTTGTAATTACAACTTTACAACTTGTAATTACAACTTTACAACTTGTAATTACAACTTTTAAATAAAAAATGTTATCAATGAATTTGGCCCTAATAGGCTTTCGTAATTTTCAAAATTTCACGTTCTGAAGTAAAACTGTACACATTATGTTACACGGTTAAAACTCAAACCGCACGGTTTATTTATCATCGCGTTAAAAGGAAAAGCTAGCATTGAAACATCAACTATGCAAGTCGGGACAGGGTTGAATAAGTGAACGCCCTCTATACAAATGGTTCACAATAGTAGGCAGCGCGGATGATTCGAAATCCGGCTGCCTTCAGCGTTATAGTCAGTGCAGGGTGACATGACTACCTCGTTGTTGCGCGCTAAATGTAAACTACACCGCTAGCTTGCTGATTGTGTAGTCTTATCTATTTTGTCTATATTTTTTTCTATACAGGTTGTCTAAAGTTCATGGTGTACAACTTGTAGACCGTACAAGAGGAATTCGATCCAGCTAGACGTACATTTTTTATTCCTACATTACCCGGCGTATATCATGTTGACACAACCCGTCTCTATTGTGGTATGATGTACTTTCAACACACACCCTGTATTCATCAAACCAGGTCGCACGCTCCAGCGAGCGCTGGTTATTTGAAACGACGAGGCCAGGTGAGTTGTCAAGCGCGATCAATTCATAACTGGGCTGACGGGTACGGTCGGTCTATTTAGGGCAGCACGCTATACACATAGCTCTATTCATAACCCTTTACTTTTGTTTTCTTATGAATTCTTTTCTGCCTTATAAACACACCTTTTCATTCCCCCCTTTCCCGACGCGCTGTTGATGCATGAGTCATCACATCTGATCACATGACTTGGATCAGCCAATCAACTTCGGATTCGCCTGGATCAACCGGATCAACCAAAACTACCTTCTGCGGACTGAGACTATACTACTGATGATAAATCTAAAAAATCTTATTTTGACCTCCACTACTTAATAATAAATATAATGTCCCAGATGTAATTTTTTACACGTTGCTGTTTCACGAGAACCTTTTTTATATAATTTTGGACAAAAAGGGATTCTTCCAACTTCATCATTAATCATGCAGTTTGGGGGCACAGTACTATTCTTCATTCTTTATTATTCAAATTTAATTCCTCAATAATTTCAAATCTTCACGGGGCGGTCGGGTAGCCTAGTGGTTAAAGCGTTCGCTCTTCACGCCGAAGACCCGTGTTCGATTCCCGACATGGGTACAATGTGTGAAGCCCATTTCTGGTGTCCCCCGTCGTGATATGGCTGGAATATTGCTAAAAACGGCGTAAAACTATACTCACTCAAATCTTCATAGGGCGCACAGGTGGAACTGTTGTCTTAGGCGCCGCATTTCGCAGTTGTGTCCCTTCGACATGCAAGTAACCTCTGATGTGGGTTCGAATCCCGTTTCGCACCGATTAAGTTTCGGATTTGTTAGCACCATACCCGCGCTGGTGGGTTTCATCGAATTGGTATACAGTACACTACGGTTATAACGAACACAAAGGGACCAGTAAATTTAGTTCGTTATAACCGTAGTTCGTTATAAGCTCATTTACAGCATATATACAGCAAATGGACGGGACCAAGAACAGTTCGTTATATCCGTCAGTTCGTTATAAGCGTGTTCGTTATAAAAGTAGTTTACTGTATATGTCTGAGACCTGCATCAGGTCGGACTTTCATCCCACATCAAGCTGGCATGCCGTTATGTAACTGGAATGCAGTTTAAAGCAAACCCACAGTCAATCAAATGCAACAAATCCACAGATTTCGAAGATGTATGGTAAACTTGGTGTTGTCATGCCATTACATCGAAACCTGAAACAGTCGAGGGGAGGTTGTACCGGCTTGGTTTTTTTAAGTCACAGACTGCGTCCGTGGTCTTTTGGAAGAACCCCCGCCCGAAGAGCGGAAGGTAGAGGGTTCGATCCCCGCCGCGTCATACCAAAAGACGTTAAAAGATGGTACTTGTTGTTACCCTTCCTTGCGTTCGGCATTAGGGGTCTAAAACAAGGACTTATCGGCTCGGAGTCAGTATACTGTGTCTGAGTGGGGTATTCATGTTAAACTGCGGCATGGTATCTCAGTGGGCTAAAACAAGGACTGGTCGGCTCGGAGTCAGTATACTGTGTCTGAGTGGGGTATTCATGGTAAACTGCGGCATGGTATCTCATGGGCTAGCACTTTAAAATCGGCATCAGTCGGGACTAGTACAAGCAGACACACACACACACGTGCATGCACGTCGCTATATCAGTGCAATAATCTTGGACCGACGTTAAACCCCATTTCACCTCACCTTTAAAGTCAAACAGCAGCAAACAACTGTCAACAAAATTCTCTCAGGTCACATTAAGTAAGTTCATGTACATATTTCTTTGTTTTTGTGTCTGAATTAACAAGCATGAAATACTCACATCCCCCGCCAATATGACATGTCGGGTTGTGTGCAAAGCATTAGCTCCTGTGAACTATGTTCACTGGGCCTTTTTGTAAATGGCCTAATTGCAGCACTACAAAAAGTTATTAGTGGTGTTGTTTTGCCATCTGCAGTTTATGATAGAATACGTAACTGAATTTGTAATGAGTAAGGATGAGACATATGGACGAACAACTTCTCTATTCCAATTAGGAGCGACGTTTCGGTGTAGGTTCCAACACCGTTATCAAGCAAGTGAAGTACAGACTATGGTTGACAGGAATATATACAGGAAAGGAGGCAGTGTTTATACAGTTGAGTAGGTTTAAGATCAGTTACACTGTTGTATTTGTAATGAGTTGTGTTATTACTTAACAATAATCAGAGAAGTAAGGGAGTTCCTACTTTACTGAGCGATCATTGAGAGCAGGGGTCACCATGAGGTGTACTGAGAAGTACAGCACCAATCATCTGATGATCTGAGTAGAAGACTGGAGTCTGGAATGCTACAGCACTGGCATGATCAGTAAACAACAAGTCCACTGTAGCTCCAAGACAGTGAGTTGGAGAGTGAATGAGTTGAGTCAGTTTCAGCACATTAAAGAAATCTTCAAGTTTCAGTTTTTCCCCCAATTCACAGTTGAAATCCCCAGTAACTAGGACATGTTCACACTCATGCTGCTTGGAGAGATCCTGAAGTTTCTGCATGAAGTTAGTCAGTGAATGCAACAACCGTGTCCATGACACTTTTGGAGGAACATACACACAAGCAATGCAGAACTTACCAAAAAGAAAGGAAATGTATTTAATACTGCGAGATGACATTATGTGCCAAGTTTGGATAAGAAATGCTGTACGGTTTTCAAGATCTGCTCCGGAAAAGAGGACTAGCGCCATTTTCACTCAAAGTCAAAGTCGTTGCCATGGAAACTCGAAAATATATTTTTTTTAAAATCCCAATCTATCAAAAGGCACCGGTTCAACACTAGAGCTATCTTATGCGCCACGTTTGGTGAGGAAATATTGTACGGTTTTCAAGATCTGCTCCGGAAACGAGGACTAGCGACATTTTCAGTCTAAGTCAAAGTCGTTGCCATGGAAACTCGAAAATATAATTTTTTTTAAATCCCATTCTATCAAAAGGCACCGGTTCAACACTAGAGCTATCTTATGTGCCACGTTTGGTGAGGAAATATTGTACGGTTTTCAAGATCTGCTCCGGAAACGAGGACTAGCGACATTTTCAGTCTAAGTCAAAGTCGTTGCCATGGAAACTCGAAAAAATTTTTTTTTTAAATCCCAAACTATCAAAAGGCACTAGTTCACCTCTAGACCTATCTATGTGCAAAGTTTAGTTAAGATATCTCTCATGGTTTTTGTGTTCTGCTCCGGAAACGAAATGTGACGGACGGACGGCACCCATTCCTGTATCCCCCTTCCACTTCATGGCGGAGGATAATAATAATACCCAAGACCTTTTGTCATCTGGTAGCTAAATTTAACGCCCGCACTAAGAAATATTCCAGCTGTAAGACGGCGGTCTGTAAATAATCTAGTCTAGACAATCCAGTGATTGACATGAGCATCGATCCACACAAATGGGATACGACCACACGATCCCGTTAGTCGTTGTTAAACGCCGCACTCGGCAGTATTCCAGCTATATGACGGCGGTCTGTAAATAATCGAGTCTGGACCAGACAATCCAGTGATTGACATCATGAGCATCGATCCACGCAATTGGGATCCATGACATGCATCAACCAAGTCAGCGAGCCTGACCACCCGATCCCGTTAGTTGCCTCTTACGACAAGCATAGTCGCCTTTTACAGCAACCATGGTTACTTAAGACCTATTCTACCCTGGATCTACATGGGTCCTCCTCTTCTGCAGTCAAAAAATATGTTTCTGTTTGTTAGCACCATACCAGGCTCGTGGGTTTCACTGAAGCGGTAAAAGACCTGCATCACTTCAGGCTTTCCTTCAACATTAAGTTGACAGGCCATATCAGATCACTATAAGAATGCACACATGTGAGGATAAATCAGTTTTATTTGACATAACACACAGCTGACAAAGTAAAATTTCATTTTTACAAATAAACTACAACATGCTTTCAAATATTTAAAACATCAATAAAGTAACTTGAACAAAGTAATATTTGACTGTTCTCACCTATACTACATTAATGTTTAATAATCTTGAAATACTTCCGCAAGTACTGAAGAATACTTGGTGTTCTGTAAATAATCGAGCCTGGACCAGACAATCCAGTGATTGACATCATGAGCATCCACGCAATTGGGATAGCATGACATGCATCAACCAAGTCAGCGAGCCTGACCACCCGATCCCCTTTGTCGCCTCTTTCGACAAGCATAGTCGCCTTTTACAGCCAGAATGGTGAAGACCTATTCTACCCCGGATAAACAAGAATTGTGTTTTCGGTAAATATGAAGTTCAAATTTGAGACAAGAAAATCAAAACGGCAACTGCATTCATGCATTTGGGTCACTTTATTGGAAGCAAATTAGTCCTTACGAAAAGAAATACCAAATGAATATAAGATGACAGATCTTACCTCCTTGTCTACATACTTACTCATACTCAAGGATGGGGACATATTTTACCCAAAAGTGAGCTTCGAGATTTCATTCACACCAAAAGTATTGATTGACATTATTTCAATCGGAATGCAAATATATTTTTAAAATTCACATAAACTTCACTCACAGTTTATTTATTTTTTAACTATTCTGTGTACACGATGCATATTTTGGTAGAATTCTTACATTATTGCACAAAGTATGTTTTATTAAAATACTAACTAGTCTTAACATATGTACTATAACAGAGTAACATTCAACTACTTTCTATTATAAAATTATGAATCCAGATTACATTTTGTTCTAAACATGTTGTACTAGCTACGACTTAAGAATTGAAACTTGGGACAGATTCAACAAAGTGATCTTAAGTTAGTTGTTTAATCTAGGTCGGTTGGTCGGTTTGTTGTTTAACTTAGCAATATTCCAGCTATATGACGGCGGTCTGTAAATAATCGAGTCTGGACCAGACAATCCAGTGATTGACAACATGAGCATCAATCCACGCAATTGGGATCGATGACATGCATCAACTAAGTCAGCGAGTCTGACCACCCGATCCCGTTAGTCGCCTTTTACGACAAGCAAAGTCACCTTTTACGGCACAGCTTAATTTAGGACTCAGAATGTTCCAGCTATAAGGAGGTGGCTTGCATATAATCAAGTCTGGAACAGACCCACCAGTTCTTGACACTGGGAACAATGACGAGACGTTATCAAGCCTGACCACCCAATCATCTTCGATGCCTGTTCCGACCAGCATATCGCTGGGAACAATTCTAACTCGGATTCGCCACTTGGATTGTGATATTAACGCTACAGTATCCCCGTGTGTTTGCTAGACAATGGTTTTGAGATCAATCTTGGCGCGAATATACGTTTCAACATTGGAGCTATAGGACAGCATAAGAGTGCTGCATTTAACATTTCTCTGTCTTATATATATTCCCAACCTCAATCATCCACCATAAAATTCTCCATTCTATTAATGATAATGGACGAGATGTCACGGCGGGCCAAATGGTCATCACAAGACGGCGGGAATCAAACAGGATTGGGTGACTAACGAACGCTTCAACCACTTGAACACCTTCCTTCTGGTATGATAAATACCCGAACCTCTTCATCACCGTTTGAAGTGATGTCACCATCCTAACCTCTCTGATCCTTATTTTACAAGATAGGTTGTTGCAGGATCACAGGAGTACATAGCGTTTGATGCATCCCGCGTTAGATTTATACCACTCGCCTCCGGCTCATGGTTTAAAACCTAACGAGGGATGCAAAACAAAAACTGTACCCCGAGAGATCCTGCTACAACGAATTTATCTTACCCAAATGTTTTAATACGACATTTTACAAGAATTCAAACCAATTCAAAATTGTTAGAAAACAGCTGTTCGATTGAGCTGAGTTTAACTTGCGTTGTGTCAAGCGACATCCATTAACTCGGAAAAAGTGTGCTTCGTTTTGTTTTGAAGCAGGCAAAAAGGGATTTATTTTTTCTCTCAGACATCCACGTGCAGCCTGTATTGCTCATGGCGGGGTATAAGAGATTTATCCCCCCCACTGAGGAATCTATTCTATCTAACCCCGAGTGATCCTGCTGCAACAAATTTATCTTACCGAACTGTTTTCATGTGACGTAAATGACTTAACACGAATTCAAAATTGATACAAAACAGCTGTTTGATGGAGCGGATGTTAACGTTTGCTATGTCACATGACTTCCACTGACTCGGAAAAAGCGTGCAGCTTTTTGACGGGGTTTCAGGGATTTATTCTGCCTCTGCCTCTCAGAAATCCACATGCAACCTCTATTGTTCGTGGCGGGGTATAAGAGATTTATTTCCCCCCTGAAAAATATATTACCCTCAAACGCAGGTTACACAGTATTTTTTCAAGACTATGTGGACCAATCAGATCTCATCATTCTGACATGGAGGTATGATAATCCTGATAGAATTTCTCTTGTGCATGAGCATAAAAGTTTATCCAGACAGCAGATTACTTAATAATACTCTAAGCTGGAAAAGATGTTTTCATGAGTGAGTGAGTGAGTGAGTGAGTAGGGTTCTCCACCGCTTTTAGCAATATTCCAGCAATATCACCAGAAATGGGCTTCACACATTGTACCCATGTCGGGAATCTAACCCGGGTCTTCGCGTTACGAGCAAACGCCTTAACCATGCGGCTACCCGACCGCCCATTATGGAATGGAGATAGGGTACACTGACCCTAAAGTGCTTTGTAACGAGAGAAAAATATTGTAAGTATTAAGTTAATCCTGCTACATCATTTGAGTATTGAACAAAAATAATATTGTGTCAAAATATATTACTCATAAAAAAATAATTCTTCAAATAAGAAAAGAGCATACATTTTTTATCAATCAAAAGTTGTAAACTTTTGAAAACAAACTTGTGATATTTCTGAAATATGTATTAAGTGTATGATGAAAGAATGTAATAATATTGTATGTCATCAGAGATCAGAACATATTTAATGCATATACTCTCAAAGTAATTTTTGCAATATTGATACAAGCATTGAGTTACCTCCCTTCCCTAAGACTTCTCCACCTTTTGCCACGACTGATGGACATCAAATGATATGGATAAGAAAATCTGAACTTGCACAAAAGTTTTAATAATTTTGAAATAAAGATAAGAAGCCTTCATGTCATATGTAGTACTGAACTGAACAGGAGTATTTTAACAAAATAATATAACATTGTTTCAAAGTGACAGTAACATATCATGACTGAAGATGTATGGTACGTGCCTTGTCTCCCCGACAGTGGAGCCCAATCTTTTTGCAACAAAAACAGCCTATATATCTCTAACACAAAAACAAAGGTATGACTCTTGAAGAATTGGGTCAAATCTAAAAAAAGAGTAAACAATTCGGACACAGAATCCTACAAAGAGCAACAACAGCTAGCTAGCACACCTTCCCTAATAGTGAGTGAGTGAGTGAGTGAGGGAGTGAGTATGGTTTTACGCCGCTTTTAGCAATATTCCAGCAATATCACGGCGAGGGACACCAGAAATGGGCTTCACACATTGTACCCATGTCGGGAATCGAACCCGGGTCTTCAGCGTGACGAGCAAACGCTTTAACCACTAGGCTACCCGACCGCCCCCCTTCCCTAGACAATCATGCTGCAACCCTTATTTAATACTTAGAAACAATATTTACTTGAAATGTACAATTCTTCTACAAATTCTTTTTCCATAAATATTTTGGCAATTCGTTTTTAATTGAAAACAACTATAAGGAATACACACATCTGAAATTTTTAACAATGTGTAAGATTATTAAAATAAATAACTATCTAGTATGTAAAATTCATCATTATATCTTTTTAAAAAAAATTAAATATTAAAACTTCTTTATACATCGTTAATGCATTTGAATAACCAGCACTACAGTTTAATAATTCCATTTTCTAAGAAAGTTTAAAAAATTTCAAGGCTGTGAAGTCTGTCCGCAGGAATCACTTCAATTCATCTTGTTGGACTCCTTACTGAAATCAAAATTGAGAAAGCTGAGCATAAAAAAATCTCAAACTCAAATCTTTTGCTCCAATACGATACCTCCATACGAAGATCTTACGATAGCTGGAGGAGGTAGTTTCAGGTAAAGTCTTATTATCAGCCAATTAGGTCTTCTGAATTAGATCAGCATATCTGATTTCTGCATTGCGACAAATCAAGAGCATTGATCCACGCATGTCATCGATCCCAATTGCATGGATTGATGCTCATGTTATCAATCACTGGATTGTCTGGTCCAGACTCGATTATTTACAGACCGCCGTCATATAGCTGGAATATTGATGAATGCGGCGTTAAATTCTTTATGGAGGGTTGGGTCAGATCTTCATGCAGACCGGTAACGTACCAGAATAAAACATCACATTTACTTTCCCAATCTTCTCCATTATTGAAACCATAGAGGTGATAAAGTGAAAATATACAACAAATATGTTAACCACAAAGAACCAGAGACAGGTTGCCCCTTAGGAAGGATGGTCATGTGACTGTTCACCTTCTAGGGCCTAATGGCAGCTTGGGTTGTATACTACCCAGGGAGCTGAGAATGAAACTCAAGTGCACACTGATCCATTGACCATGGTAGCAATGGCTTCGCATTCAGCTATACACATATGGAGTTCTGGGCCATATTATTATTATCATCATCATCATCATCATCATGACATTGATGATGCTGATGATGATGACGACGTTGATGACAACGATGATGATGATGATGATGATGATGACGTTGATGATGATGATGACGCTGATGATGACGTTAATGACGACGATGATGATGATTAAGATGATGATGACGTTGATGATGATGTTGATGATGACAACGTTGATGATGATGATGATTATTATGATTATTAGTGAATTAGAGGGTTGTACCTGCTGTGGGCTGGAGACTTGAGAGGTGACACATCAACGGCAATTCTCTTCACAACTTTAGGGCAAGTTTCGGGTACACACCTGGTAAAATAAAATTTTAATTTCCTCAATTCAGAACAATATACTGCGCAAGAGATCATGCAATCACAAAACACGTATCTCCTCTCTATATTCTCATGATTCACCTTCTCTGTAGTGACACCTCTCTTCCGGTTTGTCTGTTTGTTGTGTAACGCCTCACTCTGCAGTATTCCGGCTGCATGACGGCAGCCTGTACGTAGAGGAGTCTGGACCAGGCAACCCAGTGACTGATATCATGAACAACGTCCATCTCCGTCACTGAGCCTGACCACCCCTTCCATTTAGGTGTTTCATATGACTGGCATCAGTTGCTAGCAAATAATTCTAACCCGGAATCTCCACTGGGAATTTATCATCTATGATTCCAAACTAAGAGCCCTTTGGCAAGCAAATTGGGAAAACAACAATTATTTTGTTCGAAATTAGGATTATTTAAAAGTTCCTACTTCAGCGGTCTTTCAAAATTGAATGTTAACATTAAGGTAAAAACCTCGACATATTTCTAAGTTCTTAACATGCAAAGCATTTTTTTCTCAGAAAATCCAAATATTGAAATCAAACTTCGCACTGCGCTTGCACTTTGTTTGTTTGTTTGTTGTTTAACGCCGAACTCAGCAATATTCCAGCTATATGACAGCGGTCTGTAAGCAATCGAGTCTGGACCAGACAATCCAGTGATTGACATAATGAGCATTGATCCAAGCAATTGGGATGGATGACATGCATCAAACCAAGTCAGCGAGCCTGACCGCCCGATCCCGTCAGTCACCTGTTACAACAAGCTTAGTAGCCTTTTACGACAAGAATGGGTTGCTGAAGACCTATTCTACCCCGTATCTTCAGAGGCCGATATGCACTGATAAGAATCTAGGTGGTAGTTTTCAAGTTATAGGTCATACAAAAAATGTCCTCGGAAGGAAGACTTTGGGTCGAAAATCTGATGTTTGTATGTTTTTAAGTGTCAAGAATATTCCAGCTATATGTCAGCCTGAAACCAATCGAGTCTGAAACAGACAATCCAGTGATTGATATTATGAGCAATGATCAACGCCGTCCAGGTTCGATGACACGCTACCAACCATGTAACGGAGTCTGACCTACCGATTCATTTGGTTGCCAGTCATAACAAATCGCCAGCCCCCCACCCCACCCCCAAGCAGGTGTAGAAAAATCCCATTGGTGCTAGCTCTGCTACTGCACGGACACCTACTGTTCGTCATCGGCTGAAACTTGATCAAAGCGGAGACGCTTCAGACTTCTTGGCGTTGAGTGCCGCTTGTATGCTGAAAGACTCTCTGTGATGTTCCTCAGCTTCTCCGACGACTGCAACAACAACATTCATGTTAGTGTCGGGACACTAATACTGTATTCGACGTAATAAGCGCCCCCGCTCTAATAAGCGCCCACGGCGATATTTGCTAATATATTGGCTAGTGAACAATCCCAGTTAGCACCCCTTCCGATTGATGAATGTACACAAAACTTAATTATTCGTGTATAATACGCACTCGTGTGTTATATGCACCCTTAATTATGGGCAATTAAATTCTGGAAAAATATATCTGTCGTATATAAACAGTTCAGACCGTCAGCATAAACCACGAAATTTATCTTTCAATGCTGTTTTTTTCTACCAAAATTTTGAGAGCGCCCTGGGCGCTTATTACGTCGAATACGGTACTGCCATTGTATCAGCTCCTTAGTGACAGCAGAAATAAAGTTTTCAACAAAAAATATTAAAAATAAATCCCAAATCATCAAAAGGCACCAGTTCACCACTAGACTAATCTGTACAGCAAGTTTCAATGAGAAATATTCAACGGCTTGGAAGATTTGCTTCGGAAAACGGACGGATGGACGGAATTTCAAACAAGAGAGATAACAATGGCTCCAAGACTGGGTTATGGCCACAAACCAACAGATATAATAAGGGTGGTCCGAGGTCTCCAGCACACTTAAATTTTTAAACAGCACAGAGAATTCCAGCACCGTAGACAAATGGGCCTACCTCAAAAATAGCATTAAGCAACCCTGTATTTAAAAAAAAAGCTAATATAAACAAGACAACAAGAGTCATCAGAAAGATGACATATCCCCCCGGCAGCTGTCTGTAAAGTAACCACTAGTAAATGTGCAATTCTGTATGTAATGAGTCAACAGTTGAATGTTCTTTAAGGAGCATACATTGTTTACCAACAAACGATCCACCATGGTCGCATCCATATGAAATGGAAAGTAAAACGTTTGTTTCTGTGGGTTTTTTTTATGCAAACAAATGACAAATTACAAGAAACAAGCGTATAGTCAACGAAGTCATCTATATCCCCCACCCATTTTAACACGTTATGGTCCCAAACCAGGTAACTGACCCAACATTTCTCTTAGCCCATGTCAAAATAGCTGCAATGGAAATTCTAAAATAAACATTTCTAAAACTCCTTAATATCAAATGGCACCTGTTCAGTATGTACTTTATATATGGACATGCAATGTTTGGCTAGGAAATATTTAACAGTTTATTTGTTATACTCCATAAGTAAACTAATCCTATATGAAAACTTAAATCCAACTTGTTGCCATGGAAACGTAAAAAAAATCATTATTGAAAATTCCTATATAGCAAAAGGCACCAGTTCAGTATGTGCCTGGTAGACATGCAAAGTTTTGTAAGAAAGTATTTAACGTTTTTTGAGTTACGCTCCGGAAACGAACACCACCCTTATAGAACCTAAGTCCAACTTGTTACCATGGAAACGTAAAAAATAAAAATTTCTAAAAATCCTTAATAGCAAAAGGCACAACTTCAGTATGTGACTGATAGATATGCCAAGTTTCAATCAAATACACAGAATTATTTTCGAGTTCTGCTCCGGAAAAGGAAATGATTACGGACGGACAGACGGACAGACAGACAGACGGACAGACAGACAGACTGGCTGATCGCTATATCCCCCCGCATTATATGCCGGGGGGATAAAAAGTGCGCATGGCTCACAAATACCCACAGCTTTCACAGAAAATTCACTTATCGAAAACAAACTTTGCACTGCACCCCTCCTATTGCTATTCCTAAATTTGGAAAAGAATTCATGGTGTAGTTTTCTAGTTAAAGGTCACACAAATGTTTCAGTTAAAAAATTCAAGGTAAAAAAATGACAATCCCTAAATATGATAAGAATCCATGCAGTAGTTTTCAAGTTATAGTTTGCACAAATATATATATATAAAAAAATAATAAAAAGCTGTTTTTACAGAAAAAAATCAAATATTGAAATCAAATTTTGCCCTGCACCTCTCCTTATTCGATGTAATAAGCGCCCAGGGCGCTCTCAAAATTAGAAATAGGCTCTTATTGGAATATTATTTTGGTGAACAAACTGGGTTGAAAGATCATAAATTTCGTGGTTTATGCAGACAGCCTGAAATGTTTAAATACGACAGATATATTTTTCCAGAATTTAATTGCCCATAATTAAGGTGCATATAACTCATGAGTGCGTATTATACGCATATAAATAAGTCTTGTGTAGATTGATCAGTCGGAAGGGGTGCTAATTAGGATTGTTCACTAGCCAATATATTAGTAAATATCACCATGGGCGCTTATTAGAGCGGGGCACTAATTACGTCAAATACAGTAGGTATAAAAAGTGTTAACTAAGCTTTAACAAAGAGTCATCAGAAAGATGACATATCCCCCCGGCAGCTGTCTGTAAAGTAACCACAAGTAAATGTGCTATTCTGTATTCTGTGGGGTTTTTTTTATGCAAACAAATGACAAATTACAAGAAACAATGACTAAACAAGCGTATAGTCAATGAAGTCATCTATATCCCCCGGCCATTTTAACCACCCTATATTAAAACTTAAATCAATCTTGTTGCCATGGAAACGTAAAAAATAAAAATTTATAAAATTCCTAAATAGCAAAAGGCACAACTTCAGTATGAGACTGATAGGAAAAGGAAATGATTACAGACGGACGGACGGACGGACAGACAGACTGGCTGATCGCTATATCCCCCGCATTATATGCCAGGGGGATAAAAAGAATCCATTTAGTAGTTTACAAGTGAAAAAAGGTCCTCGGACATTCCTTTAAGGTAGGAGGCATAATAATTAAAACGTAGAAAATACAAAATTTCTTAGTGAGTGAGTGAGTGAGTCAGTTGGGTGAGTGAGTCAGTTGGGTTTAACTCCACTTTTAACATTATTCCAGTTATATCGCGGCGTGTCAGCTTAATGTGGGAGGAAAGCCCGAAGTGATGCAGGTCTTAGACGTTTACCACTTCGGTGAAACCCACGAGCACGGGTATGGTGCTGACAAACCTAGAAATATAATCGAGGCGAACCGGGATTCGAACCCACAATCATAGGTTTCTGACGTGCCCAAGGGACGCAACTCTGCACAGCGAATCGCGGGGCCTTAGATGACTGGGCCACCCGTGCCCCCCTGAGTAAGTGAGTATGGTTCACGGCGGGTGTTCTGGGAAGGTATTTAAGACTTCTAAGGCAATTAAACATAGGGCTTACCTTGTTAACTATATTGATATGAGAATGCCATAAACAATCTTTTCACCAAATTCATTAATAAAAATTCCTTTCATTTTAAGAATAGGTTTTGCACTGGATGAGATTTTACTTGCATTCAACAATTCGGTAATTTTCTCGGCATCAATATAATATTGACAACCTAGTCTATGCGTGTACAAAGTTTCATGAAGAATACCTAAAGTTTTAGAGATATGGTCAGGACAAACACACCAGTATGAACGAAGTCAAAGTCAAACTTGTTGCCATGGAAATGGAAAATATAACATTCTAAAAATCTCTAAATAGAAAAAGGCACCTGTTGACAACCTTGTCTTTCTGTACAATATTTTAATGAAAGAATACCTATTAGTTTCAGAGATATGATCGGACGGACCGACAAGACAATTACTATATCCCCCCATATTACATACAGGGGGGATTAAAGAAATATATTCTCAGATTTCCGAGCATCTCACTTACTCCAAGACCCTCCCCGAAACTGTACAGTAAGCTGCTTCTTGGCGTCAGCTGACTCGGTGAGGGCGGCAACTTGAACGGCGACTCCTTCAGCGGCGACACATAGAACCTCTTCCTGCCAGGGATGCTGCAACAGCAAAAACAAGTCCGGACTAGCATCATCAGTAGTGAGAGAGTGAGTGAGTTTAGTTCAAAGTAGTATTTAAATTGCGCCACAGTCTGCCAGCTTACTGTGTGAGGAAAGCCCCAAGTGAAGCAGGTCTTAAGGTATTTGAACACTTGACCACGGAGGTGGTTGAGTGAGGGAGTGAGTATGGTTTTACGCCGCTTTTAGCAATATTCCAGCAATATCACAGCGGGGGGCACCAGTAATGGGCTTCACACATTGTACCCATGTCGGGAATCGAACCCGGGTCTTCGGCGATAAAGAAAATTATCGTGCCTTATTTAATACATATATTCTGAGTTTCTCATGCGTGTGTGCGTGCATGCGCTTGTACTACATCTAATCCGGACTAATGCTGATTTTTAAGTCCCAGCCCGCTAAGAACAAGTACCATCTTTTAACATCTTTTGGTATGACGCAGCCGGGAAAAGAACCTCCGACCTTCCACTCTCCAGACAGACCTGTAATCACCAGACCACAGAAGCGTTCTAAAATGTCCAGTGAACCCAATGTCCAAAAACTGGACCCCGGTCAAAACTGGACAGACCAGATAAACCCTGCCTACCTGAACACGGGTGAAGCTGTTAGGGGCGACGTCATCTGCTTTGGAACTGGAGATAGTGTAGGGGCCTGTGAATATAGACAGTGGTCAAGATAGACACATGGATAACAACTTGTTTAATACTGTGAAAAGCGACGTTTCGGTATAGATCCTAATACCGTTGTCAAGCAAGACTGAATGAGGGTTGTTGTTCTTGCATTAAGTGTTTAAGAGGTCGCCTTCTGCCTAGGCAATTTCGGCTGACCTGTCCCTCTTTGGGACTCCTGTGTGTGTGAATGAGGGACATAGTACAGAATATATATAGTAGGTGGAGGATTAACAGTAGAGGATTAACAGTAGAGGATTAACAGTAGAGGATTAACAGTAGAGGATTAACAGTAACAACAATTGCATACGGGAGTGGGATAACATTGGTAGGTGTGACAACAAGTGAGTGAGTGAGTGAGTATGGTTTTACACCGCTTTTAGCAATATTCCAGCAATATCACAGCGGGGGACACCAGAAATGAGCTTCACACATTGTACCCATGTCGGGAATCGAACCCGGGTCTTCGGCGTGACGATCGAACGCTTAACCACAAGGCTACCCGACCACCCAGTGTTGACAACAAAGGGATGATGCTGTCCCAACACGCTGGACAGAGAACACATAGGTGGAAGCCAATAGGGACATGAAGCCAATAAACAGGATAAGTGATTATTGTTTGATGAGTTCATAGTTGGCAGTAAGACAGTGGTCATATTGAAATAAATCACTAGTTAGTTTATTTGTTTGTTGTTAAACGCGCACTCAGCAATATTCCAGCTATATGATGGCGGTCTGTAATAATCGAGTCTGGACCAGACAATTCAGTAATTGACATCATGAGCATCGATCTACGCATTTGGGATACGATGACATGCATCAACCAATTCGGCAATCATGACCACCCGATCCTGTTAGTCGCCTCTTACGACAAGCATAGTAACCTTTTACAGCAAGCATGGGCTGCCGAAGACCTGTTCTACCCCGGATCTTCACGGGTGCAAATCACTAGGAAAGGGAGATGTTTAAACGTTTTGACAAAAAATCATGAGCAATCACAATGACAGATCATGAGAAAATGTTCAAAGAGGCCGTCCCCCTGAAAGGGTCTTCCCATTTGTCAACTAGATTTGTTTTTGTTTGTCGTTATGCCACATTTTGCAATATTCCAGCTCTATGAGGGCAGCCTGTAAACTCTTCATGTTTTGAGCAGACAATCCTATGATTGACATCATGAGCAATGGAATACAATAACATGCATCAACCAAGTCTGCGAGACGGACCAACCGATCCCATTTGTCGCCTCTTATGACATGCATGGGTTGCTAAGACCAGTTCTAATCCAGATCTTCCTAGGGGACAAGGATGGATTGCTGAAGACCGATTCTAACCCGGATCTTCCTGGGGGACAAGCATGGGTTGCTGAAGACCAGTTCTAACCCGGATCTTCCTGGGGGACAAGCATGGGTTGCTGAAGACCGATTCTAACCCGGATCTTCCTGGGGGACAAGCATGGGTTGCTGAAGACCGATTCTAACCCGGATCTTCATGGGGTACAAGCATGGGTTGCTGAAGACCAATTCTAACCAGGATGTTCATAGGGGACAAGGATGGATTGCTGAAGACCAATTCTAACCAGGATGTTCATAGGGGACAAGGATGGATTGCTGAAGACCAGTTCTAATCCAGATCTTCCTAGGGGACAAGGATGGATTGCCGAAGACCAATTCTAACCCGGATCTTCATGGGGTACAAGCATGGGTTGCAGAAGACCAATTCTAACCTGGTTCTTCATGGGAGAAGACAAACATGGGTTGCTGAAGACAATTCTAATCCAGATCTTCACGGGGTTAAAACATAACTAATTCTAACCCGATCTTCAAGGGATACAAGCTTGTTACTGAAGATCAATTTTAACCCATATCTTCGACTAAACTGACGCTACATACCATAGGTCTGTTGACGGAGAACTGTAGAATGTAGGTCTTCATATTTTGCATGAAGACTTTGTTGTAGAAGCCGATGATGGAGTCGAACTCACTCCCGTGAATGAAGGCACTCTTATACACCTGCAGCAGAGAAAACAGCACGAATATAACTTATTATTATGCCTCAAAGTGAGATAGACCAATCAGAGAGCAGAACTACTGACCCCACATGAGCCCGTTTACCGTCAGTAAAAATCCAAGATGGTTGTTACTGACCTAATATGAGACCTTATACCGTCAGTAACAACCATTTAGGATTTTCCAAACCCCACCTTACACATTTCACACAGTGGTAGAAACGAACATTTTTGGTCCAGTGTCCTTATAATGATAATATATAGCCAATCTCATTAAAATCACATCTTTGTTCTTGCTACCGCCAAACAAAGATCTGAGGACATCCCATTAGGGTCACGTCAGAACGAACTTTCATCCAATCAATCAGAGCGTCGCTTACCAGATCATGAAAGTGACATTCCGAATGCGAATTCTAATAATGCAACCCTCGAAAACTTTAACACAGGGTATTCCGAACGATGGTTACGGGTTTAACAACCGAATCCATACAATGTAGACCGTCTATTAGCCATTCCAGAATGTTCTTTTGTTCAGGTTTCAAATTTGTAATCGAGAATTTGTCAAGATATGTTTCGAAACGTAGTCGCCAATTTGAAATCAGTGCCGTAAAGCGCAAGAAAGCTGCATTCTGATTGGCTAATGTCGACTTCTTGTCAGTCCTTCTATCGGTCGGTCAAAGTTCACGCAAGGTCGGTCTGACGTGACCCCTAATGGGACGTCCTCAGATCTTTGTTTGGTGGTAGCAAGAACTAAGATCTGATTTTAATAAGATTGATATATAGCAAAACCCTTAAAAATGGCAAATATGCACCAGTCCTTATGATACCATAACTATTTGGCAGTTTAGCAAGGACTGTAGGACTAGTGCCAATTTCTTGACCTGTAACATGAAAATTCTGGCACAGAAATTCATTATTAGACACTGTTTTGTGTTTTAATATCATCAATTTTTATGTGCAAGGACGTTGATGGTTTTTTGGATCACGTTTGTGACTTGAATAAAGATAATATATCAACAAGGTTTGAAGAGTAGTCTCCCTTTGACCCTTATGTCTTAGGTTGTAAGGTAAAATTTTGAGTTTTAAGTTTTGACATAACATGTGGGACAAAGATACCAAATAGTGTCAACTTTTCGGCATAATAAATTAGTTATGGTGTCTTTAGTTGCCGTATACGATGTCATATTAGGTTAGCGGAAAAATAACCCAAAGTCAGAAAGAATCACTGTGGGTGCAACGACAAGGTTGGTTGGTTGGTTGTTGTTTTTTATTCCAGCTATATGACGGCAGTCTGTAAATAATCGAGTCTGGACCAGACAATCCAGTGATTAATATCATGAGCATCGATCCACGCAATTGGGATCGATGACATGCATCAACCAAGTCAGCGAGCCTGACCACCCGATCCCGTTAGGCGCCTTTTACGACAAGCATAGTCACCTTTTACGGCAAGCATGGGTTGCTGAAGACCTATTCTACCCTGGAATCTTCACGGGTTGCAAAGTCATCATAATACATATCTCAACACACTGCTCACAATACGTTACATATCTCTATACGCCAGAATAACACATAGGCCATAAACTGAAATACTTGTGTATTTCACACGAGTGAAACATGGCGACTGATTGTTTATTCGTTGTTTACTGTTCACAAATAGTACAGGGAAGCCAAAATTATCCCAAACTGTGCGATCCGATACAGATCCGGATACCTTGCTCATGATCCGATACTTATCACGATACTTGCAGGTGCTCTTATCTGTGGTGCGTAAGCCATCTTTTTCATAGACAGGACGGCTAAACACCTGGCACACTGACCATTTACAGTTGGCAGTGAAGCCCATTTCTGGTGTCCCCGTCGTGATATTGCTCGGATATTGCTAAAAGCAGCGTAAAACCATACTCACTCACTCACTCACTCACCTCACCTCACCTCACCATGTTCCATAATGTCCACAGAACAAGTAGAAGTGACAACATTTTTTACTTTTCGACACAAACTTGGGATCAAAGTGGCACACTTAGTGAAAAATATTGATTCTCACCTTAACTGTTTGCTTTAATAAATGTTACACCAAACACTTATTACTAGTGAAAACATACATATTTTGGCGCAATGGGTGAAAATATGTGATACCATGCAGCAGTTTAACATGAATTCCCCACTCAGACACAGTATACTGACTCCGAGCCGACCAGTCCTTGTTTTAGCCCCTTAATGCCGAGCGCTAGACAGAGTAACAATAAGTACCATCTTTTAATGTCTTTTGGTATGACAGCTGGGGATCGAACCCCGGACCTTCCGCTCCCCGGGCGGACGCTCTACCACTAGACCACGGAGGCTGTCATCATGGAACATGAAGAATTGTAGGCAAATACACTGCAAACTTGCAAAATTCATTATAACATCAGGTGGGCGTATGACATCACTGGGTACATCTATACAATGGTTGCTCTTACCGCTTGATCGACATGTGCCAAGTTCCTGTACATGTGGACAATCGTCTTGAACTTGATCTCCTTCTCAACGACCTTGCAGATCCCGTACAGCGAACACATCATAATCTGAAACATCAACCACACCATCACAACATGTCCGTCATGCCGTCTAGATGGCCAGGCAAAGTATTTTCGAATCCTCCCTTGACGAGTTTTAAACAGAAAAAATTGAAACTCGTATGATCTTTTTGACAAATGTCCAGGAAGATTTATGTTAGCAGTCACTGAAAACACATGTCTGTCACACCAACCTGGTCAGATTCTACATCGCATCATCAGTTTCAAAGATGTAAAGTACGAGAGCCTCTTCATTGCATCTTCCCAAGGCAAGGGAGTTAACTGACTATAATTTTATAATTTGAAGTTTACACGATATACAGCTTTTCCATTGGACAAGAGGTCGGTCACGTGACCACGAAATTGACTTTCATAAGTGTCTGAACGACACAATTTGACATTCATACGTTTTTCACGAGACCGTGTTCTTGAAATGACGTAAACACTGACGGACTACTTCCACATTCCATGGGAAACCCCTGGGAATTCTCTAGCACGAAAACATACATAAGCGTTCTTTCTGATCATTTAGAACTTTTATTCTTGGTCTCAGCGTTTCAGTATACATTGAGAAATGTCAGAGAGCGTGACTGCATGATTGTTCACGACTATCCTCCATGCAGCGTATCCTAATGAACAAACGAAGAAATGCACATCTAAACTATCGTAGTATCGACTCAATCCGTGACATTGACCGTCTCCAGCAATCTATGAATTTACCTTAGTGTCTGTTTGACGCATCTTTATTCACCATCTTTATGCAAGCTCCGAAGTTCATACAGTTCGGCCCTAACTCTATGAAGGTTCATACTCCAATGAACTCACACAAAGTGAAGGTCAATTCTTAAATAAAAGTCCAGTTTCCACTCTTACCGACATTGGCTGGAATTATGGAGGTACATTTTGCCTGGACATTTTGGCTGGACATTTTGCCTGGACAATTTGGCTGGACATTTTGTGTAACAAAATCAACATCTGGTTTGTTAAATGCAGTGCAGATTTCGGTTGATTATAGGATTTGCATAGCATGAAGTACGTCTACTGGGCGTCAACATATATTTTCCAAATGATTTCATATTTCTAATCCAGGTGCTGATGTGATTTGATGCACTTCACGAAGTAAGACCCGTTTTTTTCACAATATAGATATTGATTATTGATCAGATTGTCTTGATTGGGCGTCGCTATTTTGTTTAAAGCAAAAGCAAGTGATATGAGAGGTGGAATCTGATTGGTCAATAGGAGGGACATAGAAAGGGACGGAACTCATAATAGCCACTGGTGGCGCTACGATCGACCCCAGAGAATCCAGCCTATTTCGGCAAGAGTGGAAATTGGACTTTTGCATTATGTCTCCAAACTGACAATGAACAATAAGACGGCCTCACTGCACACTTTGGACAGCGGAAATACCAACTTGAATATAAACACAAACACGGTTGATTGAGCAGCAGTTGTAACAAGTACATAGCAATGTCAATTAAGACGTGACCCTTGCAACACTTGAGGCTTCATCACACTTCAAGTTTGTTGACACCTACTCCACATACCAATCAGTGAACTGTTATTGGTTCAATTATTTTATTGCCTTTGAACTTCCTTAATGCCAGTCAACAGAACAACAAGAAAGAAGTGAGCAAAGCTCAGATACCCCCGTTATCCCCGCTGGTCAACAACAAATAGTAAATAGTTTGTTAATTAATGAAATATTACATATTTCTAACTGATTTTAACTTCAATGTTTTAAAAACTAAGATTGAGATCCAGTGACAATTGACCCCCCCTCCAAATCTCCCATGTTACCAGTGTTCACTACGAGGAAGTAGATCACCATGAACACCTTTGAATAAAAATTTGATTGAGGAGTTACATAAGAAGAATTATCAAAAGGACCAAAAATTGTTGATATAAAAACACATAAAAAGTGGAACAATATCATATGAGAAAATCAATAAATAAATAATTTCCATCTAGCCTTAACAAATATGGTAAAGAATTCATAAATTCAAACTATCACAAAGCACAGATACTTATGATGATCTACATGTGTGGAAACAATTTTTGAAAATATATTAGCTATACAAACAAAACCAGTCATCAAAATTTCTAAATTCCATCATGTTTCCATGAAAACAGCAAAAGAGAAAACTTTCAGAATCTTATAAAAGATAAAAAACAATCATAGCGGTTAAATGTAGCATGTTTGCTGAAGCTAGGATACATAATATTGTAAACATGGATCGTACAAAAACTCTACCGAAAATTTATGTTTCACCATGATTCCATGGAAACGGCAAAAATAAATAAATTAAACTAGCATAAGGCACAAGTACTCATTGTGGTAAATGTGTGTAGCAAGTTTGGTGAAGCTAGGGTGCATGGTTAAAAAGTTATGGGCCTTACAAAACACCCACCCTAAAAGTTTAAGTTTCTAATGTTTCCATGGAAACGGCAAAACTTAAAAAATTCAGAATCTTCAAACTAGCAATAAGCACAAGTACTCATTGTAGTTAATGTGTGTAGAAAGTTTGGTGAAGCTAGGGTGCATAGTTAAAAAGATAGAGGCCGTACAAAACACCCACCCTAAAAGTTTAAGTTTCTTAATGTTTCCATAGAAACGGCAAAAATTAAAAAGTTCAGAATCTTCAAACTAGCAAAAGGTACAAGTACTCATTGTGGTAAATGTGTGTAGCAAGTTTGGTGCAGCTAGGGTGCATGGTTAAAAAGTAATGGGCCGTACAAAAGCCCAGACAGACGGAAGGACGGACGAACGGAACGCTATATATCACCTATTTACTTCGTAAACGGGGGTTATAAATATATAAACTGTGTGTAGTTTTTAGGGAAACACTGTTTTTTATTTTTACGGAAATACTCTACTCAGCACTTTTAAGTGGTGGTATTTATGTTTGATTGGGTAAATTTAAGGTTGGATTAAGGTAAGATATGTATCATTCCAATGGGGATGGGGTGGGGGAAGTCGTATTGATATTGAGTCGCATTTTTGGCTAAGGGTCAGCAGTCGTATTAATTTGGAGACGCATTAATATCAAGACTTACAGTAGATACAATATGTTGCAAAGGACATAAAAACAACAGGATTATGACAGTAGCCTTGACAAACATGATTTCGTTTGTCTGCCATTCCGTTCTGATTCATACTTTTTATGTAACCACGATTCATACTTTTTGTGTAACCATGTGCTGTCCGTGTGCGTGTGTTGACAAACTGACATGCCTTGCCTACGATGATGAACTAACTGCCATTATAGCTAAAATGGATAGAATTATCAGTAAACCGCCTGCATGTTATCAAGAATCAGCGGGCCACTGTAACTTGATAATGTCCTCATATGGCTTGACGACGGGCCATTATCACGCCCATTGTTAGGTGACATCATAGGGTTGGCATAGGTGACGTCACGTTCAATAGTGACGTCATCTGGTTTGTGCTATGACGTTTCCATATTTGTAAAAGTGGGTCAGTGACATTCGTGTTGATTGCAGTAATTGTTTCAAAACCGATATTGTTTTTTCTTTTTATTTGATACAAAATTCCATCCATTTTAGCTATAATAACGGTAACGCTATTTTTCAGGGCATTATCATTTGCAGAAGCCCTCAGTCTTTTCAACTGCCCTCCTTCGTCGGGCAGTTAATGGAAGACCTCAGGCTTCTGCAAATGATAATGCCCTGAAAAATAGCGTTACTCTTATATTAAATTGCCTTGAATGACCCACAGACTTCTTCGTCTTCTTTTCAACAGGTATACATTGTTATATAGGGTAACAGGAACTGGGATATAAGGTGAAACCGTGTAAACGGTGAACACCAACCTGGTCGATGTGTCTGTTTCTCATTAGGGCTGGCTTGTTAGTGATGCAGTATTCAAAACACGTCCAGATCTTTTGTTGCTGAAGAAAAACAGAAAACAATCTTGATATAATTGTGTTCAATATCTGACAAGAGAGACTAATGGGTTGTAAAGACAGGGACCTTCAGTGTAGGTTTAGATGTGGCAACAAATACTCGGGGTGCTCAGCCTACTTCAAAAACACCGGGAGACCAGGCACTGGGGACCTACACAGGGAGACCAGCATCAGGCACTGGGGACCTACACAGGGAGACCAGCATCAGGCACTGGGGACCTACACAGGGAGACCAGCATCAGGCACTGGGAACCTACACAGGGAGACCAGCATCAGGCACTGGGGACCTACACAGGGAGACCAGCATCAGACACTGGGGACCTACACAGGGAGACCAGCATCAGGCACTGGGGACCTTCACAGGGAGACCAGCATCAGGCACTGGGGACCTACACAGGGAGACCAGGCACTGGGGACCTACACAGGGAGACCAGCATCAGACACTGGGAAACTACACAGGGAGACCAGGCACTGGGGACCTACACAGGGAGACCAGCATCAGGCACTGGGGACCTACACAGGGAGAACAGGCACTGAGGACCTACACAGGGAGACCAGCATCAGGCACTGGGGACCTACACAGGGAGACCAGCATCAGACACTGGGGACCTACACAGGGAGACCAGCATCAGGCACTGGGGACCTACACAGGGAGACCAGCATCAGGCACTGGGGACCTTCACAGGGAGACCAGCATCAGGCACTGGGGACCTACACAGGGAGACCAGGCACTGGGGACCTACACAGGGAGACCAGCATCAGACACTGGGAAACTACACAGGGAGACCAGGCACTGGGGACCTACACAGGGAGACCAGCATCAGGCACTGGGGACCTACACAGGGAGAACAGGCACTGAGGACCTACACAGGGAGACCAGCATCAGGCACTGGGGACCTACACAGGGAGACCAGGCACTGGGGACCTACACAGGGAGACCAGCATCAGACACTGGGAAACTACAAAGGGAGACCAGGCACTGGGGACCTACACAGGGAGACCAGCATCAGGCACTGGGGACCTACACAGGGAGAACAGGCACTGAGGACCTACACAGGGAGACCAGCATCAGGCACTGGGGACCTACACAGGGAGACCAGCATCAGGCACTGGGGACCTACACAGGGAGACCAGGCACTGGGGACCTACACAGTGAGACCAGCATCAGGCACTGGGGACCTACACAGGGAGACAAGCATCAGACACTGGGGACCTACACAGGGAGACCAGCATCAGGCACTGGGGACCTACACAGGGAGACCAGGCACTGGGGACCTACACAGGGAGACCAGCATCAGACACTGGAGACCTACACCGGGAGAACAGGAACTGGGGACCTACACAGGGAGACTAGCATCAGGCACTGGGGACCTACACCGGGAGAACAGGAACTGGGGACCTACACAGGGAGACCAGCATCAGGCACTGGGGACCTACACAGGGAGACCAGCATCAGACACTGGAGACCTACACCGGGAGAACAGGAACTGGGGACCTACACAGGGAGACCAGCATCAGACACTGGGGACCTACACAGGGAGACCAGCATCAGGCACTGGGGACCTACACAGGGAGACCAGCATCAGGCACTGGGGACCTTCACAGGGAGACCAGCATCAGGCACTGGGGACCTACACAGGGAGACCAGGCACTGGGGACCTACACAGGGAGACCAGCATCAGACACTGGGAAACTACACAGGGAGACTAGGCACTGGGGACCTACACAGGGAGACCAGCATCAGGCACTGGGGACCTACACAGGGAGAACAGGCACTGAGGACCTACACAGGGAGACCAGCATCAGGCACTGGGGACCTACACAGGGAGACCAGGCACTGGGGACCTACACAGGGAGACCAGCATCAGACACTGGGAAACTACAAAGGGAGACCAGGCACTGGGGACCTACAGAGGGAGACCAGCATCAGGCACTGGGGACCTACACAGGGAGAACAGGCACTGAGGACCTACACAGGGAGACCAGCATCAGGCACTGGGGACCTACACAGGGAGACCAGCATCAGGCACTGGGGACCTACACAGGGAGACCAGGCACTGGGGACCTACACAGTGAGACCAGCATCAGGCACTGGCGACCTACACAGGGAGACAAGCATCAGACACTGGGGACCTACACAGGGAGACCAGCATCAGACACTGGGGACCTACACAGGGAGACCAGCATCAGGCACTGGGGACCTACACAGGGAGACCAGGCACTGGGGACCTACACAGGGAGACTAGCATCAGGCACTGGGGACCTACACCGGGAGAACAGGAACTGGGGACCTACACAGGGAGACTAGCATCAGGCACTGGGGACCTACACCGGGAGAACAGGAACTGGGGACCTACACAGGGAGACCAGCATCAGGCACTGGGGACCTACACAGGGAGAACAGGCACTGAGGACCTACACAGGGAGACCAGCATCAGGCACTGGGGACCTACACAGGGAGACAAGCATCAGACACTGGGGACCTACACAGGGAGACCAGCATCAGGCACTGGGGACCTACACAGGGAGAACAGGCACTGAGGACCTACACAGGGAGACCAGCATCAGACACTGGGGACCTACACAGGGAGACCAGCATCAGGCACTGGGGACCTACACAGGGAGACCAGGCACTGGGGACCACACAGGGAGACCAGCATCAGACACTGGAGACCTACACCGGGAGAACAGGAACTGGGGACCTACACAGGGAGACAAGCATCAGACACTGGGGACCTACACAGGGAGACCAGCATCAGGCACTGAGGACCTACACAGGGAGACAAGCATCAGGCACTGGGGACCTACACAGGGAGACCAGCATCAGGCACTGGGGACCTACACAGGGAGACAAGCATCAGACACTGGGGACCTACACAGGGAGACCAGCATCAGGCACTGGGGACCTACACAGGGAGACCAGCATCAGGCACTGGGGACCTACACAGGGAGACAAGCATCACGCACTGGGGACCTACACAGGTAACTAGTATCAGGCACTGGGGACCTACACAGGGAGACCAGCATCAGGCACTGGGAACCTACACAGGGAGACCAGCATCAGGCACTGAGGCCTACACAGGGAGACCAGCATCAGGCACTGGGGACCTACACAGGGAGACAAGCATCAGACACTGGGGACCTACACAGGGAGACCAGCATCAGGCACTGAGGCCTACACAGGGAGACCAGCATCAGGCACTGGGGACCTACACAGGGAGACAAGCATCAGGCACTGGGGACCTACACAGGGAGACCAGCATCAGGCACTGGGAACCTACACAGGGAGACAAGCATCAGACACTGGGGACCTACACAGGGAGACCAGGCACTGGGGACCTACACAGGGAGACCAGCACCAGGCACTGGGAACCTACACAGGGAGACAAGCATCAGGCACTGGGGACCTACACAGGGAGACCAGCATCAGGCACTGGGGACCTACACAGGGAGACCAGCATCAGGCACTGGGAACCTACACAGGGAGACAAGCATCAGACACTGGGGACCTACACAGGGAGACAAGCATCAGGCACTGGGGACCTACACAGGGAGACCAGCATCAGACACTGGGGACCTACACAGGGAGACCAGGCACTGGGGACCTACACAGGGAGACTAGCATCAGGCACTGGGGACCTACACAGGGAGACAAGCATCAGGCACTGGGGACCTACACAGGGAGACCAGCATCAGGCACTGGGGACCTACACAGGGAGACCAGTATCAGACACTGGGGACCTACACAGGGAGACAAGCATCAGACACTGGGGACCTACACAGGGAGACCAGCATCAGGCACTGGGGACCTACACAGGGAGACAAGCATCAGGCACTGGGGACCTACACAGGTAAAAAGGTAATCAGGCACTGGGGACCTACACCGGGAGACCAGCATCAGACACTGGGGACCTACACAGGGAGACAAGCACCAGGCACTGGGGACCTACACAGGTAACCAGCATCAGGCACTGGGGACCTACACAGGGAGACCAGCATCAGGCACTGGGAACCTACACAGGGAGACAAGCATCAGGCACTGGGGACCTAAACAGGGAGACCTGCATCAGGCACTGGGGACCTACACAGGGAGACCAGCATCAGGCACTGGGGACCTACACAGGGAGACCAGCATCAGGCACTGGGGACCTACACAGGGAGACCAGCATCAGGCACTGGGGACCTACACCGGGAGACCAGCATCAGGCACTGGGGACCTACACAGGGAGACCAGGCACTGAGGACCTACACCGGGAGACCAGCATCAGGCACTGGGGACCTTCTCAGGGAGACCAGCATCAGACACTGGGAAACTACACAGGGAGACCAGGCACTGGGGACCTACACAGGTAACTAGTATCAGGCACTGGGGACCTACACAGGGAGACCAGGCACTGGGGACCTACACAGGGAGACCAGCATCAGACACTGGGGACCTACACAGGGAGACAAGCATCAGGCACTGGGGACCTACACAGGGAGACCAGCATCAGGCACTGGGGACCTACACAGGGAGACAAGCATCAGGCACTGGGGACCTACACAGGGAGACCAGCATCAGGCACTGGGGACCTACACAGGGAGACAAGCATCTGGCACTGGGGACCTACACAGGGAGACCAGCATCAGGCACTGGGGACCTACACAGGGAGACCAGGCACTGGGAACCTACACAGGGAGACCAGCATCAGACACTGGGGACCTACACAGGGAGACAAGCATCAGGCACTGGGGACCTACATAGGGAGACCAGGCACTGGGGACCTACACAGGGAGACCAGCATCAGACACTGGGAAACTACACAGGGAGACCAGGCACTGGGGACCTACACAGGGAGACCAGCATCAGACACTGGGAAACTACACAGGGAGACCAGGCACTGGGGACCTACACCGGGAGACTAGTACATACACTGGATATTCTACTATGGTGAGGTACGTCTTGTCTACTCACTGATGACATACACTGGATATTCTACTATGGGGAGGTACGTCTTGTCTACTCACTGAGCACATACACTGGATATTCTACTATGGAGAGGCATATCCAGTCTACTCACTATTTCCTTGGTCACTTCCAGCATGGTGCACAGCTTCTGGAGTTTGTGGAAACCTGTCCTCCCCACTGAAACACAGGAACACGTCCAGCATTTCTACTTTACAAAACCTTAGGCTCATCAAACAAAGCTCATGTATGCATCCTCATAGTGAACACAGAGAATCTCACTCGTGTGTCTTATGATATCAAATATATCAGCATGGTTTGTTTGGGTAGTTGTTTAATGCTGCACTCAGCAATATTCCAGCTTTATGATGGCAGTCTGTAAACAATAGCAAGATTGAGGGTAATACATGAATTCTTACACAAGTTTCGTAACACATGCAAGCGTCAAACATTAATTACCCATAATTTCTAAATCTCTTTGAGCTCTCGTTTTGAAAAAATGAACTGGTCACAAGCACATTCTTAGAAAACAACAATTGTCGAATGACGTCAACAATCTTCAGCTATGACATAGTTTCGGGTGTGACAATATGAATCGAATGACGTCACCAATGCCGTCTGGATGACGTCACCAATGCCGTCTGGATGACGTCACCAATGCAGTCTGGATGACGTCACCAATGCCGTCTGGATGATGTAAACAATGCACTGGTTCCTGTGAAGTGATAGTTGCCCTTGTGCACATAAGATATTGATGAACTCGGTTATGTCTAAACCTGTAGGTAATAATTAGGATTCTGTACAAAACTACAGTGAGTGAGTGGTTGGTTAGTTTGTTTAACGCGGAACTCAGCAATATTAAAGCTATATGACGGCGGTCTGTAAATAATCGAGTCTGGACCAGACAAACCAGTGATTAATATCATGAGCATCGATCCTCGCCCTTGGGATCGATGACATGCATCAACTAAGTCAGCGAGCCTGACCACCGGATTCTGTTAGTCGCCTATTACGACAAGCATAGTCACCTTTTCCAGCAAGCATGGGTTGCTGAAGACATTTTCAACCCCGGAATCCTTACGGGTCGTGAGTGAGTGAGTGAGTGAGTGAGTGAGTGAGTGAGTGAGTGAGTGAGTGAGTGAGTATGTATGGTTTTACGCCGCTTTTATCCATATTCTGAGTGAGTGAGTGAGTGAGTGTGGTTTTACACGGCTTTTAGCAATATTCTAGCAAAATCACGGCAGGGGACACCAGAAATGGGCTTCACACATTGTACCCATGTCGGGAATCAAACCCGGATCTTCGACGTGACGAGCAAACGCATTAACCACAAGGCTACCCGACCACCCCAACAAAACTACATGATAGCGTTCACTGCATGTGAATATTATGTTGAATATTTTCTGACCTTTACTGAAGAAAAGGTTGAGAGACTGAGATCTCCGAGGTGCTGGGCGTGAAGTGGACGCCCCGTCTTGACTGCCTGGACTTGCCGCTGCTCTGGGGGAAGCGCTGGAGTTGACGGACGAGGAGCCTTTCGTTGGAGTCGGAGGCAGGATCCCTGACCGAGGATGCATAGGGGACAGATACCTGCGGGGGCAGGATGCAGGGTTGTACATGATGCAAGGTACTGCATCCTAAACATGCAAATTGAGTTAGTGAGTTAAAATTTAATGTTACATCAGCATTATTTCAGCCATGAGAACGGAAACTAACACAGAGGTGCCCTGCCAGTAATATCACAATTTACAAGACCAATTTTCAAATTCAGTCTTGACAAGTATCCCTTAGATAAGCATGCAAACTTTCATTCTTGTACCCATTTCATGCAGTATGCACGAAGTCGAAAATCACAGAGCAAGGGACTCAACGCTGTAAAAATAATTTAAGATACCAATTTTCGAACTATTAAAGCGTGACCAGTAACATCAGTCTGCAAAATTTTATTTCTCCAACTGAAATCGTTAGTAAATTTGTCTCCTCTGTGAAGTGGACGGACAGACGGACAAATCCAGTCCAATTCCTTCATGGAGGGGATAAAAAAGAATTTGAACCGGTCATGCGGGACAAACTAATTTAACCTCAGGTTCATGCCCAGAAAGATATTGTAGATCATTGTGAAAAAATATAATTGTTCCATCAAATTTCAGAGGAAAAAATATTCTGACAGACAAAAATCCCATTCCCCACCTCACTCCACCATCGCCCATTCCAACCCTGCCCCACTCCAACCCCGCCCCACTCCAACCCCGCCCCATTCCACCATCAGCCACTCCAACCCCGCCCCATTCCACCATCAGCCACTCCAACCCCGCCCCATTCCACCATCAGCCACTCCAACCCCGCCCCATTCCTACATCAGCCACTCCAACCCCGCCCCATTCCTACATCAGCCACTCCAACCCCGCCCCGCCCCACTCCAATCCCATCCCATTTCCCCATCGCCCAATCCAACCCCGCCCCACTCCAATCCCGCCCCATTCCACAATCGCCCACTCCAACCCCGCCCCACTCCAATCCCGCCCCATTCCACCATCGCCCATTCCAACCCCGCCCCGCCCCACTCCAATCCCGCCTCATTCCACCATCGCCCACTCCAACCCCGCCCCACTCCAATCCCGCCCCATTCCACAATCGCCCACTCCAACCCCACCCCGCCCCACTCCAATCCCGCCCCATTCCACAATCGCCCACTCCAACCCCGCCCCGCCCCACTCCAATCCCGCCATATTCCACCATCGCCCACTCCAACCCCGCCCCGCCCCACTCCAATCCCGCCATATTCCACCATCGCCCACTCCAACCCTGCCCCACTCCAATCCCGCCCCATTCCGCAATCGCCCACTCCAACCCCGCCCCATTCCTACATCAGCCACTCCAACCCCGCCCCGCTCCATTCCACCATCGCCAACTTCATCCCGCCCCATCTAAATACAATATGGTTGGTCCCTTCAAATAATTTTCAGAATAGTTTTGGCAAAAACCCAGATCCTATCTTGTCCAATCTCAACGCAACATACTCACATGTCAGCGGCTGTGTTTGTGTTGTGTGAGTTCTGTGACGATGCTGATGGGGACTGCGGCTGTGTCATCATTATGTCCGAGTTTTCAATAGCACTAAATAACGATGATCCCTGTGAATGAGAGAGAAAACATATCAAACACTCACATTAGGACATTATCTTATTTATCTCTGAAAATGGTTAATTCTGAAAACTGGACGTCACTTTAACTGGCAAGACAGGGAGAATCAACCAGTTGATTTTCTTAGTAAGTGAATTGGGTTTAGCGCCGCTTTTAACAGTATTCCAGTTATATCACGGCGTGTCAGCTTAATGTGGGAGGAAAGCACGAAGTGATGCAGGTCTTGGATGTTTACCACTTCGGTGAAACCCACGAGCACGGGTATGGTGCTGACAAACCTAGAAACATAATCGGGGCGAAACGGGATTCGAACCAACAATCATAGGTTTCTGGCGTGCCCGAGGCGCAACCTTGCACAGCGAATTGCGGCGCCTTAGACGACTGGGCCACCCGTGCCCCCTGATTTTGTTATGATGTCTACAATCTACCCACCTCTTTCCATGCTATGGTCTCCAGGATCTGTGTCTCCACCCACTGCAGATGCTGAAGGCAAAAATACAACATTGTTTATCATACCTCCATGTCAGAATGATGAGTGAGTGAGTGAGTTGGGTTTAACACCGTTTTTAACAGTATACCAGTTATATCACGGCGTGTCAGCTTGATGTGGGAGTAAAGCCCAAAGTGATGCAGGTCTCAGATGTTTACCACTTCGGTGAAACCCACGAGCACGGGTATGGTGCTGACAACCTAGAAACATAATTGGGGCGAACTGGGATTCAAACCCACAATCATATGTTTCTGGCGTGCCCAAGGGATGCAACTCTGCAAAGAGATTCGCGGCGCCTTAGACGAATGGGCCACCCATGCCCCCTCAGAATGATGAGATCTGATTGGTCCAAATGATCTTGAAAAAATATTGTGTAACCTGCCTTGGAGGGTAATAAATTTTTCAGGGGGGAAATAAATCTCTTATACCCCGCCACGAACAATAGAGGCTGCACGTGGATTTCTGAGAGGCAGTGGCAGAATAAATCCCTTAAACCCCGCCAAAAAGCTGCACGCTTTTTCCAAATCGGAAGTCATGTGACAGCATACGTTAACCTCCGCTCCATCGAACAGCTGTTTTGTATCAATTTTGAATTCGTGTTAAGTCATTTACGTCACATTAAAACAGGTTGGCAAGATAAATTTGTTGCAGCAGGATCACTCGGGGTTAGATAGAATAGATTCCTCAGTGGGGGGATAAATCCCTTATACCCCGCTATGAGCAATACAGGCTGCACGTAGATTCCTCAGTGGATGTCTGAGAGAAAAAATAAATCCCTTTTTGCCTGCTTCAAAACAAAACGCAGCACACTTTTTCCGAGTTAATGGATGTCACTTGACACAACGCAAGCTAACCTCAGCTCAATCGAACAGCTGTTTTGTATCAATTTTGAATTTGTGTTAATTCATTTACATCACATTAAAACAGGTTGGTAAGATAAAATTCGTTGCAGCAGGATCACTCGGGGTTCATTAGGTTTATACCATGAGCCTCCAGCACGGGACGCACGGGACGCACAAAACCCCATGATCACCTCGTGACACTGCTACAACTTATGTTATTTGTCTGTTGATTAACATAGCATCCAGCAATAGTTCAGCTGTATCAGTCCCCAGCATCCTCATCAGGTGAATCAAGGAGAAAGCATATACTCCGAAACGTTGTGTTCCTCATAATAAAGAAAAAGTTGACATCCATAATTTCTCTTCCTTATCATTCTTACTGGACATTAACGAAAATATTTCTGTCAACTAAGATAACTACATTCTTATCAATGAACTGTTTTCAGAATTCAGCATATAACGGACATATTGGTAAGAGTGAGTGAGTGAGTGAGTGAGTATGGTTTTACGCTGCTTTTAGCAATATTCTAGCAATATCACGGCAGGGGACACCAGAAATGGGCTTCACACATTGTACCCATGTCGGGAATCGAACCCGGGTTTTCGGCATGACGAGCGAATGCTTTAACCACTAGGCTACCCGACCGCCCCCAATATTGGTAAGAAATGATACATTTGATATCAAAAGACACTCAGGTGAGATTCTCTATTTAAACAACAGAATATCCATATTTTCACTTCTTGTTAACAACATCTCGGCGACTAAAGGTTGAGCTCTTTGACTCAAGACTTGTGGTCATGATTCAACAAAAACATGCAGGAGTCAAGATGACTCCCAATCTTTCAGGTTAGGTCAGACTCTGGATACAACAAGTGTAAAAACTAATCATTAAAAACATTTGACATTTATCGTTTGAACAAAATGAGCTATGTACAAACTTTGATGATTTCTCGGGTGAGTTTGGGTTCAGCCCTGATGTAGCTCTCCAGCACTTTGAAGAAGTCGAAGGCCTGGAGATGAAAGACGTCCAGAACCCAGGGGAAGGAGAACTGAGAGTCCTCCCGACCTATCTCACTCAGGGATGGATTGCCTGCAACACACACAGAACTCAAACATCTGTACTAGGGGACAACTCCAAGCCTATCTCACTCAGGGATGGATTCCCTGCAACACACACAGAACTCAAACATCTGTACTAGGGGACAACTCCCGGCCTATCTCAGTCAGGGACGGATTGCCTGCAACACACACAGAACTCAAACATCTGTACTAGGGACAACTCCCGACCTATCTCACTCAGGGACGGATTGCCTGCAACACATGCTACAGAACTCAAACATCTGTACTAGGGGACAACTCCCGACCTATCTCACTCAGGGACGGATTGCCTGCAACACACACAGAACTCAAACATCTGTACTAGGGGACAACTCCCAGCCTATCTCACTCAGGGACGGATTGCCTGCAACACACACAGAACTCAAACATCTGTACTAGGGGACAACTCCCGGCCTATCTCACTCAGGGACGGATTGCCTGCAACACACACAGAACTCAAACATCTGTACTAGGGGACAACTCCCGACCTATCTCACTCAGGGACGGATTGCCTGCAACACACACAGAACTCAAACATCTGTACTAGTGGACAACTCCCGGCCTATCTCACTCAGGGACAGATTGCCTGCAACACACACAGAACTCAAACATCTGTACTAGGGACAACTCCCGACCTATCTCACTCAGGGACAGATTGCCTGCAACACACACAGAACTCAAACATCTGTACTAGGGACAACTCCCGGCGTATCTCACTCAGGGACGGATTGCCTGCAACACACACAGAACTCAAACATCTGTACTAGGGGACAACTCCCGGCCTATCTCACTCAGGGACAGATTGCCTGCAACACACACAGAACTCAAACATCTGTACTAGGGGACAACTCCCGGCCTATCTCACTCAGGGACGGATTGCCTGCAACACACACAGAACTCAAACATCTGTACTAGGGGACAACTCCCGACCTATCTCACTCAGGGACGGATTGCCTGCAACACATGCTACAGAACTCAAACATCTGTACTAGGGGACAACTCCCAGCCTATCTCACTCAGGGACGCATTGCCTGCAACACACACAGAACTCAAACATCTGTACAAGGGGACAACTCCCGGCCTATCTCACTCAGGGACGGATTGCCTGCAACACACACAGAACTCAAACATCTGTACTAGGGGACAACTCCCAGCCTATCTCACTCAGGGACGGATTGCCTGCAACACACACAGAACTCAAACATCTGTACTAGGGGACAACTCCCGGCCTATCTCACTCAGGGACAGATTGCCTGCAACACACACAGAACTCAAACATCTGTACTAGGGGACAACTCCCGACCTATCTCACTCAGGGACGGATTGCCTGCAACACACACAGAACTCAAACATCTGTACTAGGGACAACTCCCAGCCTATCTCACTCAGGGACGGATTGCCTGCAACACACACAGAACTCAAACATCTGTACTAGGGGACAACTCCCGGCCTATCTCACTCAGGGACGGATTGCCTGCAACACACACAGAACTCAAACATCTGTACTAGGGGACAACTCCCAGCCTATCTCACTCAGGGACGGATTGCCTGCAACACACACAGAACTCAAACATCTGTACTAGGGAACAACTTTCCTTGTTTGATTCTTCGATTGTTTGTTGTTAAATGCTGCACTCAGCAATATTCCAGCTATATGACGGCGGTCTGTTAATAATCGAGTCTGGATGAGACAATCCAGTGACTGACATCATGAGGATCGATCCATGCAATTTGGATACGATGACACGCATCAACCAAGTCAGTGAGCCTGACCACCTGATCCTCTAACGACAAGCATAGTCGCCTTTTACGGCAAGCATGGGTTGCTGAAGACCAATTATAACTCCACTTTCCTCTTAGCTCTAGCAACATCTAAGGGGTCCATCTGGCTGAAATACCCATGAAATTCAAGGGAAAACTGCCATAATCTTTAATGTTTAAGAGAGTGTGTGTCCTGTTTATTAATATCACAAAAATAGTCATGGCAAAAAGATGTTTTTGTCAATATGGCTGATTCCAGAACAAATTCTCTTTCTCAAAGTTGTTCAGAGTTCAGAGTTCAGAGTTCAGAGTGAGTGAGTGAGTGAGTGAGTGAGTGAGTGAGTGAGTGAGTGAGTGAGTGAGTGAGTGAGGTTTTATGCGGCTTTTAGCAATATTCCAGCAATATCACGGCGGGGGACACCAGAACTGGGCTTCACACTTTGTACCCATGTCGGGAATCGAACCCGGGTCTTCGGCGTGACGAGCGAATGCTTTAACCACTAGGTTACCCGACCGCCCCCAAGCTGAATGGTACGGTTTTTTTATCAAATATCATTATGGGGATGAGATAATATGCATATGCAAGAAGAATCTTAAATATTTCCAGGATCTAATTGAAAGTCTTTCAACCAATCAGATTACAGCATCCTCTCCCATTCACTTAACAACACTCATTCAATTTGTTGTCTGTTTGTTGTTAAACACCGCACTCAGCAATATCGGAGCTATATGACGGTGGTCAGTAAATAATCGAGTCTGGACCAGTCAATCCAGTGATTGACATCATGAGCATTGATCAACACAATTGGGATACGACGACATGCATCAACCAAGTCAGCGAGCCCGACCACCCGATCCCATTAGTCGCCTCTAACGACAAGCATAGTCACCTTTTACGGCAAGCATGGGTTGCTGAAGACTCACTCATCTGCAAACATATCTTGTAAACAACTTACACGAAAGCCCATAAGTCATCAGCACTATCTCCACCGAGGCAGCGAGGAGAGATCGGTGGAAACTGTCCGAACACAGAAGCTTGCTGAAATCATTTGTAGACAACCTGTCATGCTCCTGAAACACAAGAAGAACAACAAATTACGACAAATGACTGGCTTGATCGTTTCTAGTAAATAGCAGCGTTCGAAATACCTGCCTGCCCGACCGTCCGAGACAGTTGATTTCAACTCGGGCTGCCAGATTTTCAAATCCCCCTGCCCGACGGTCGGGTTATATTTCATAGGTGAAAATATTCTAAACATTTCCTGATGAAAAGCATTAATTCACATGTAAAGATGAATGATAAAATGTAACCAAAAAGAAACCCCGTTGGCTTTTAGACAACCTAACATTTAGCGATGCTCTTATGCTTCAAGCAATCAGTTTTCATATTTTTAATTAAATTATCCTGAGAAACATATGATTATAGTGGGCAGGCAGGTTTTGGTCAGGGCTGGCAAGTATTTCAGCTAGCCAGTCCTGTGGTCTGGCTGAAATTTTTGGGAGTTTCATACCCTGTAAATAGTAAGGCTCGGACCATACACCAACTGTGTGATCCAATACGTATCACGATACCTTGTTCACGATCTGACACATATCAAGATACTTATATGTGCTCTTATCTGTGGTGCGTAAGCCATCTTTTTCATAGACAGGATAGTCAAATACTGGCACGCTGACAAATTACAGATAGCACTGTCGAGTATGGCGCAATGGATGAAAATATTTACTTTTTCACTACTAAGCAAATGTTTAAGGTAAGTATGGATATTTTATACTTAGTGTGTGAGTGTTATCGATACTTGTATCGGGAGATAAAATATCGCGATCCACCGATGCATCATCCCACCACTAGTAAAAAGTCGTTAATGGCTAAAATTCCACTCATTTAAACTTTTATAAATTTCTATTCAAGTTCCAGGGTTTTAGATCAGTTGATTGTCTAGGACATTGAGTGAGTATTATCTATTATGTTCAATTATGTCCCAAACATGTTTCAAAGTAGGTATTGTCTTATCAAAAACTGACGAAATAATAGAAAATAGACTTCGTCTGCAGCAAAAGTACTGACGTGACAGTGACGTCCTATTTATTTCAGAAAGTACTCTAGCTGTTTTGAGAATATTGTCCACATAGTCTTAATACAATCGAAGATGTTCCTGCCCCGGCAGATAATTTGAAAAATGTGGACATTAGCAAACACTATCTTTACACACACCTGATGACAGGTATGACTGCATGATATGACATGTATACCATCATACTCTAATACGCTTTTCGAACAGAATGTATTGCAATATTTTTTCCGTGTTGCCGTATAAAGGGTGAAAAATAAGTAACATGTTTCATTATTATTTGTGTCAATAACCTAAAATCAGCACAGAAAATCATTAACAAATGATATTTCCCTTTAAAATTGACTGACAGAATAGACAGTAGTGAGTTCTCTCACATAGTTATCTCCCCTGTATCCATGACTACAAAATAGCAGCAACTGACCAAGCTGACTTTGACATTGTGATCTAATAAAATCCTGGATATTTTATATATTTGCATACTTCGCCTGTAATTTATCTCGGAGTCCAAACAATGTACCCCTGGCAGACAAAGTTGGGAGAAATCGCTTTTCTGTTTAAAATTGTTTATTTTTATTTAAGTGCTTATTTTCCACAATTCAGGGGTATTTTAACAATAAATTTTAACTTTGCATTCAATGCATTAATGTTAAACTAAGCACTAAAGCCTCTTCCTTTAGACTAAAACGGTCGCCAATGCGCCAATTTGTCTACTGTCCAAAATTCTGAGGTCGCCAAACGACTACCGTGAAAAATATCTTGTGGCGACTAAATTCTATTGCTTCACATACGTAGACACAAACATAAATAATCTGATTGACATTTGTGACGCCATTTTCGCAATAGGCAGTGTTTTCACGGTCTCAATGGAATACATATGCCATACTCATCGTCTGTTTCATAAACATTCCCATTGCTCAATGCAGCGTTACAAGGGATTTTTTCAGTTACGTAAACTCTCAAAGCCTAGTGCTATGACTTGTACATATTATAATAGTTATTTAATAAATGATAATTTCAAATGTTTGGGGCTACCTAAACATTTGGCTTCTCTTGTTGATTTTACCACTGGCTACCTGAAAAAAAAAAATAGCCATATGGCTTACTAGTTAAAAAATTAAACTTTGAGGCCTGCTTTATATTAATGTTGTCATTGACAAAAAGTCACTTTTACAAAGCCTTAACACAAGTCAACAGCATGAATCGGGACAGATATTGCTTTACTCCAATTTAGGAATTCTTACTGACATTTGCTCCAGACTTGAGGACGAAGCGGCCTATGAGCAGGTCCAGATAAATACTGTAAATCGTGAAATTAATGCGTCTCCAAAAGAATGCGACCACTGGACCCTAGCCAAAAATGCAACTCAATATGAATGCGACACACACCCCCCCTCTCAAGCATCAGTGGATTTCTATCTAAAGATGTCCTCAGTCAGGTTTAGATTCCTCACTTTAATCCAACCTTACATTGATCCAATCACACACCAAATATCACCGCTTATTAGCTCTGAGTAAAGAACTTCCGCAAAAACAATACATGCGTGTCGGCCTTTGACGCAGTCGCAAAGAACAAAGGGTGGCGTCTGTCTGGACTTGCAGGTGTGATCAGTGATGACATAAGTGAGTAGAACTCTTGTCTTGACCCCAGCAGTGACAATTCACAGGACGTAATTAGTGTTTAGATGACGTTGTTTATATACTTTATATACAAGTGCTGCTCAATGAACAGTGGTGTGGAATACATCAGCGTATGTCTAAGTTTGTATTTTTGCTATCCAAAATGTCTTATTGTTGATATAAATGCGATGTTTAAAAATGCGAGCAAAGACCACTCGCATTTTTCGCATTGAATTCACGCTCGCGTTAATTTCAAGATTTACCTGAACTGTTCCCTATAAATACTCTCAAACACTTAAAACATGCACCCACCATGTTCAGCATCGACTCCATCACTCTGTAGTACAACCTCTTGGCCATGGTGAATCGCTGCTCTGCTATCGTTGTCTGACTCGACGCGAAGTTGGACGTGAACACTCTCTCAAGTTCAATGACTCTGTCTGCTATTGAGGTAGTTGGGTCGATTGCACAGTTCTGACAATAGAATATATCAAATACATCAATCTGTCCAGACTGTAACTTAAACAGACGAATGTCTGTTTTAAACTTGGTTGGTGCCGTGATCGCTGTGCAGAGTTGTGTCCCTTACAATTCGCAGGATCTAACGACTGGGAGTTCAATTGGAAAAAAGGGCAGGTGAGGCCATGTCATTTAAGGTGCTGGTAGTCACTTTTTAGAGTTGCCTCCCTGAGAAGTGCCAGAAACCTATGATCAAGTGTTGGTGGCAAGGTCACATAAGGTGCTAGCAGTCACTTTGTAGAGTTGCCTCCCTTAGAAGTGCCAGAAACCTATGATCAAGTGTTGGTGGCAAGGTCACATAAGGTGCTAGGAGTCACTTTGTAGAGTTGCCTCCCTTAGAAGTGCCAGAAATCTATGATCAAATGTTGTGGCAAGGTCACGTAAGGTGCTAGCAGTCCCTTTGTAGAGTTGCCTCCCTTAGAAGTGCCAGAAATCTATGATCAAATGTTGTGGCAAGGTCACATAAGGTGCTAGCAGTCACTTAGTAGAGTTGCCTCCCTTAGAAGTGCCAGAAACCTATGATCAAGTGTTGGTGGCAAGGTCACATAAGGTGCTAGCAGTCACTTTGTAGAGTTGCCTCCCTTAGAAGTGCCAGAAATCTATGATCAAATGTTGTGGCAAGGTCACGTAAGGTGCTAGCAGTTACTTGGTAGAGTTGCCTCCCTTAGAAGTGCCAGAAACCTATGATCAAGTGTTGCTGGCAAGGTCACATAAGGTGCTAGGAGTCACTTTGTTAAGTTGCCTCCCTTAGAAGTGTCAGAAACCTGTGATTAAATGTTGGTGGCAAGGTCACATAAGGTGCTAGCAGTCACTTTGTAGAGTTGCCTCCCTTAGAAGTGCCAGAAATCTATGATCAAATGTTGTGGCAAGGTCACATAAGGTGCTAGCAGTTATTTGGTAGAGTTGCCTTCCTTAGAAGTGCCAGAAACCTAAACATATGATCAAGTGTTGTTGGCAAGGTCACATAAGGTGCTAGCAGTCACTTTGTAGAGTTGCCTCCCTTAGAAGTGCCAGAAACCTATGATCAAGTGTTGATTCCTAGTTAACCCTGATTATGCTTCTTGGGCTGTCAGCCTAAGGGTTTCACAGTGTGGTAAACACATAACATTGTTTAGATTACCGTATTCGATGTAATAAGCACCCCGCTCTAATAAGAGCCCCCTATTTCTAATTTTGGGAGCGCCCTGGGCGTTTATTATGCCGAATACGGTACTCCCGTGTCAAGCTGACACGTCACGATGTATAACAAAAAATGCAGTTCACATTGGAGATAAACCCAAATCACTCACTCAATTCCCAAATTTCGTTCATGTAATGATCTTTGGTTTGTTAACACTAACTCTCAGCTCTGGGCCAGCGATAGCTGAGGCTTTCATCCTACACGAATCTGGCAGGCATGAAATAACTGAATACTATTCAAAGCTGTGAGAAGGTCAGGGGGCAGGTAGGTAGGCATCTTCCCGAGGCAAGAGAGTTAACGGACTTTAAAAGTCCAGTTTCCACCCTTGCCAAACTAGGCTGGAATTCCTGGGCTCGATCGTAGCGCCACCAGTGGCTATTACGAGTTATGTCCCTTCTATACCTCTCCTATGGACCAATCAGATTCCGCCTCTCGTATTACTTGCATTTGCTTCAAACAAAACGGTGGCCCCCGCTCAAGAGGATACGATCGATAATCAAGATCTATATAGTGATAAAACGAGTTTTTCATCGCAAAGTGCATCAAATCATGTGATCATCTGGATTATAGCTGTCATATAGCTGTCATATAGCTGGAAAATTGCTGAGTGTGACGTTAAACAAACAAACAAACAAAAATTGTGGGTGTGGTGAGTAGACAGATGAGAAGGCCAATCTTTAAAACAAAAGGAGTTTTAAGGAAGCAAGTGGACCAAGCTGAGGAGAATCCCCCGGAGGAGACAATGTACCACGTGAACATTCTTACCTTGAAATAGTTGAGGAGCTTGTCACTGGCCTGATCACTCGCATTGCAGAGAATGATCTTCAGTTGTTGAACAGTGTTCATGGCAGCTCTGTAAACATTCAAACAAACAGAATGTTCTTGTGTCAATGACCAAGGGGGACATCTTTGGCAATCTGCCAAATGTTGAAAACATTGAGAATGGAAATTTCTAAGCCATTGGTACACAGGGATATCGAGGGTTCCAAAGTAAGTTCCCTGGGCGGGCGAACTGGGAAAGATCGCGATTGCTATTTTTTTTTTAAATATTTATTGTCCTACATTCAGAGAGCTGTTAACACTGAATTTAACATTGCATTTAATGCAAGTATATTAAACTAAGCATTAAAGCCCCCAGCTCCCTGTTGGTCCTGGAATCAAGGAGGTGAGGTGAGGTGAGGTGAAATGGGGTTTAACGTCCATCCAAGATTATTGCACTTATATAGCGACTGCATGTACGTGTGTGTGTCGAATCAAGGAAATACAACCTACCTCTACAAAGAAACTGTGATGCTCTAGTTATGATACCGTCCATCGCTGACAGGTTTTTATTCATCTAAATTTATGCATTATAAATGTCTAAGTTCTCGTCACAATATGGCTGAAATATTGCCGATGTGACGTCAAATATTACCTCACTCACATAACCTTAGTTCTAATTATAACAGCATGAATTAGGAAAAGTTTAGTTCCAATTTGGGGATATATTGACAATGGCTGCAGACTTGAGGCCGTCTAGATAAATCCCTTGGGACAGGACGAGAATTATTGTTCTTGCAACTATTCTTTGTATCTCCTAATCTGCGATAAAGTACTGTCATCATTTCTCTATCTGTCTCAGAGCAGAGCCAAATACTTGAGTTCCATTTATATAATGAACAGTTCAAGACACAGCTCTTCACTCCAACTGTGTGTGTAGGCCTGAGTTTGTTACAACAAGAAGAGCACCATTGTATGAAGTGGTTGGTTGGTTGGTTGGTTGTTTTACGCCACACTCAGCAATATTCCAGCTATATGCTGGCGGTCTGTAAATAATCGAGTCTGGACAAGACAATCCAGTGATTGATATCATGAACATCGATCCACGCAATTGGGATCCGTCTTTTACGACAAGCATAATCGCCTATAGGCAAGTATGGGTTGCTGAAGACCTATTCTACCCTGGATCTTCAAAGGTCTTGAAGTAGATGGAGCATATTATCTGGCCATTGTTGTACTACTCACAGCCAATATGACAACCAACCATTGGATCAGAGCGTTTAGCTGTGCTCTTGGATAAGAGCATTAAGCTGTGCTCTTCGATCAGAGCGTTTAGCTGTGCTCTTGGATCAGAGATCAGAGCATTTAGCTGTGCTCTTGGATCAGAGTGTTTAGCTGTGCTCTTGGATCAGAGATCAGAGCGTTTAGCTGTGCTCTTGGATCAGAGCGTTTAGCTGTGCTCTTGGATCAGAGCGTTTAGCTGTGCTCTTGGATCAGGGCGTTTAGCTGTGCTCTTGGATAAGAGCGTTTGGTTGTGCTCTTGGATAAGAGCGTTTAGCTGTGCTCTTGGATCAGAGCGTTTAGCTGTGCTCTTGGATCAGAGCGTTTAGCTGTGCTCTTGGATAAGAGCGTTTAGCTGTGCTCTTGGATAAGAGCGTTTAGCTGGTTCTTGGATCAGAGCATTCAGCTGTGCCCTTGGATAAGAGTGTTAAGCTGTGCTCTTGGACCAGAGCGTTTAACTGTGCTCTTGGATAAGAGCGTTTAGCTGTGCTCTTGGATAAGAGCTTTTAGCTGTGCTCTTGGATAAAGGCATTTAGCTGTGCTCTTGGATAAGAGCATTTAGCCATTATATTAGCAAATATCGCCATCAGATATTTATTAGAGCGGGGCACTTATTACATCGAATACGGTAATATCTGTACTGTGATGCTCGGCCCGTACATTAATTGTAGTGAAAGTAACCAACCTGACAGGAGTCATCATTTGTGGAGATCCGGACACACAGGACTGGTCCACACTGGCTCTGCAAGGAACAACAGTTGTCTTCAGATCATCGTGTCACACAGACTGAGAATGTCAGTCAGTGAGTGAGTGAGTTGGGTTTAACGCCGCTTTTAATAGCATTCCAGTTATATCACGGCGTGTCAGCTTAATGTGGGAGGAAAGCTCGAAGTGATAACATAATTGGGGCGAACCGGGATTCGAACCCACAATCATAGGTTTCTGGCGTGCCCAAGGGATGCAACTCAGCACAGCGAATCGCGGCGCCTTAGACGACTGGGCCACCCGTGCCCCCGAGAATGTCAGTGATACAGACTGCTTGATAAAGGTGTTAGGATCTACACCGAAACGTCGCACTTATTGTAATAAAGAAGTTGTTCATCCATAGAACTCGTCTTACTTCATCACACCAACTTCTAAATGCCACTGAAAGAAGTCAGTGATAGCAGTGGGACGATACACCAATGCATCGGTGGAGCGCGATTTCTTACTTATCGATACATGTATCAATCACAATCGTATACTGAGTAAAAAGTATCGATTCTACCCTTAATGTATTCTTTAATAAGTGTAACTCCAAACACAAAGTACAAGTGAAAATGAGAAACGTACATATTTTCATCCGTTGCGCCATACTTGACCCTGCCAACTGTAAATCGTCAGTGTGCCAGGTATTGGGTGTGTTTGTTTGTTGTTTAACGCCGCACTCAGCAATATTCCAGCTATATGACGGCGGTCTGTAAAAAAATCGAGTCTGGACCAGACAATCCAGTGATTGATATCATGAGCATCGATCCACGCAATTGGGATCAATGACATGTATCAACCAAGTCAGCGAGCCTGACCACCCGATCCCATTAGTCGCCTTTTACGACAAGCATAGTCGCCTTTTACGGCAAGCATGGGTTGCTGAAGACCTAGTCTACCCCGAACCAGGTATTTGGCCTTGTGTCTATGAAAAGGATGGCTTATGCACGACTGATTAGAGCACATGCAAGTATTGCGATACGTATCAGAACATGAGCAAGGTATCATGATACTTATCGGCTCACACAGTTGGTGTATCGTCCAAGCCCTACTCAGTAACATCACAGTTGACATAAGCCAGGATTAAAATCAATTTCTCCTGAAGACTTTTGACAAACAGGTGAGATGCTAACAAGGTGAGGTGAAATTGGGTTTAACGTCGTGTCCAAGATTATTGCACTTATCTATATAGCGACGCGTATGCACACGCGCGCGTGTGTGTGTCTGCTTGTAGTAGTCCGGACTGATGCCGATTCATAGTGCTAGCACACTGAGATACCATATCGCAGTTTAACATAAATACCCCACTCAGACACAGTATAATGACTCCGAGCCGACCAGTCCTTGTTTTAGCCCCTTAATACCGAGCACCAGGCAGGGTAACAACAAGTACCATCTTTTAACGTCTTTTGGTGTGATGCGTCTGGGCGGACACTCCACCACTGGACCACAGACCACTGGACCACAGACCACTGGCCCATTGAAAAATCACCCTTACAGGGTCACCTAAGCCTTACTTTTCAAATCGGGACCGACCATTTGATATTCTGGGAGGGGTTAGGCTGGGATATTTTCCAAAATAACATACTGTCTTATATAAAGCAACTTGCCATGGGAAAGCTGGATAGTGAAACTTTCAACTTCTGTTACAGTGAGTGAGATGGGTTTAACGCCGCTTTTAACATTATTCCAGTTACATCACGGCGTGTCAGTTTAATGTGGAAGGAAAGCCCGAAGGGATGCAGGTCTCAGACGTTTACCACTTCAGTGAAACCCACGAGCACGGGTATGGTGCTGACAAAACTAGAAACATAATCGGGATTCGAACCCACAATCATAGGTTTCTGGCGTGCCCTAGGGATGCAACTCTGCACAGCGAATCGCCGCGCCTTAGACGACTGGGCCACCGTGCCCCCCTCTGCTGTTCCAAGCTGACCTGTTTTTGTTATGATCTGATGGTATGAGGTGACTGTCATGTCGAAGAAAAAGCATCTCGTTGATATCCCCTTCCTTTTTATGTCGCTCGTCGTACTGTTCCATCAACCTCTCCAGCTGAAATATACAGCAGACGCATTGTCATCGAAAGTTAACAAACTCAACGACACAACAATCTGAATTCCAGATGATAATAACATCATAATAACGTGTGTGAATACACAATGCCATCTAGAAAGTGGTCAAATGTATAATGAATGATATTTGTGATTGCATCCTCTTAGGACAGTACAAATTCTAGCATTTAGGGGGGTTTGAGTCCCGTCCGGGATTCGAACCCACACTGCCAGAGTGAGGCACCTAATCGTCAGCAAACCAAGTCAGGGAGCTAACCCACTCAGCCACCGAGGCTTCCACAAAATAAAAGTCCGACAAGTGGTAGTCTAGGTCACGCACATTGCGTGCTGGCGATTAGGTGCCTCACTCTGAGCGTGTGGGTTCGAATCACGGATGGTACCCGCAAAAAATACTAGAATTTATACTTAAGTAAGACAGTGTAATCCCAAATATAACACTTAAATATAATGTGCGTCAGTTTTGATCAGCAAAGAGAGTACATGCAGAAACTACAGGGTTCATAGCAGTGCGTGTCAATTATGAATGGTTGAGGATGGTAGTTCTTCAATCTCATTAAAATCGGATCTAAGTTCTCGCTGCCGCTAAACAAAGATCAGAGGACATCCTATTACAGGTCACGTGAGAACGAACTTTAACCGACAACTAAAACGACTAACAAGGAGTCAATATCAGCCAATTAGAAAGCAGCTTTCTCGAGCTTTACGGCACTCGTTTCAACCTAGAGACTTCCATTTCAGACTATGCTTGAAAAATATGTTGACACAGTTCTCGATCAAAATTTTGAAAACTGAACAAGGGAACATTCCGGAATGTCTAATATATGGTTGAGATTGTATGGCAGTGCTTCCCGCGTAGTGTGCAACGCCTCCTCTATTCAAATGTTTGTCCCACGGAAGCGAGAGATAGACGATAATTTTGACGGAATCAAAGGGTTGCATGATCAGAAAACACATTCCAACTGTCACTTGCATGATCTGGTAAGCCATGCTTTGATTGGTTGGATGAAGGGTCGTTCTGACATAAACTTTAATGGGATGTCCTCAGATCTTTGTTTAGCGATAGCCAGAACTAAGATCTGATTTTAATGAGATTGGTAGTTCTTAAGAATATGGGATCGGGTTCAGTCTGACAAAAGATGCAGAGCTCTGGAATTTGAACATTTGCCACATGGTGTCACATGGCCTAATTTCATTATAATAATGAGGTCTGGGCCAGACAAACCAGTGATTGGTATTATGAGGTATGATGACAAGCAGAACCCAGTAGTGTACCAAATTTGTTTGTTTGTTTGTTGTTTAACGCCGCACTCAGCCATATTCCAGCCACATGACGGCGGTCTGTAAATAATTGAGTCTGGACCATACAATCCAGTGATTGACATTTATGCATTTGGGATTACAATGACATGCATCAATTAAGTCATCGACAACCAGATCCCGTTAGTCGCCTCTTGAGGCAGGCTTAGGTTGCTGAAGACCTTTTCTACCCCGGATCTGAACAGATGTGAACCAAGTCAAAGAGCCTGCCCTTCCCGGTCAGTTAAGTGTTATTGAGTGCTGGGAACCTATTCTGTCCTGGGTCACCATGGGGTGACCTCATTCCATCACATGACCTTGACTCACGGACACTGAAGGTCAGGGTGTGGTACTTACATCCAGGTCTCCATCGATGTGCGGCAGTTCGTGGAAGAAGGGCTCCGTACAGTTCTGTTGAATTACTTGCACCTGGGAATACAAGGCACAATGTGATCAATACAAGGCACGATGTGATCAATACAAGGCACAATGTGATCAATACAAGGCACACTCCTTTCAATACAAGGCACAATGTGATCAATACAAGGCATGATGTGATCAATACAAGGCACAATGTGATCAATACAAGGCATACTCCTATCAATACAAGGCACGATGTGATCAATACAAGGCACTCTCCTATCAATACAAGGCACAATGTGATCAATACAAGGCATACTCCTATCAATACAAGGCACGATGTGATCAATACAAGGCACGATGTGATCAATACAAGGCACAATGTGATCAATACAAGGCATGATGTGATCAATACAAGGCACACTCCTATCAATACAAGGCACGATGTGATCAATACAAGGCACGATGTGATCAATACAAGGCACAATGTGATCAATACAAGGCACACTCCTTTCAATACAAGGCACAATGTGATCAATACAAGGCATGATGTGATCAATACAAGGCACAATGTGATCAATACAAGGCACACTCCTATCAATACAAGGCACGATGTGATCAATACAAGGCACTCTCCTATCAATACAAGGCACAATGTGATCAATACAAGGCATACTCCTATCAATACAAGGCACGATGTGATCAATACAAGGCACGATGTGATCAATACAAGGCATGATGTGATCAATACAAGGCACACTCCTTTCAATACAAGGCACGATGTGATCAATACAAGGCACGATGTGATCAAAACAAGGCACACTCCTATCAATACAAGGCACACTCCTATCAATACAAGGCATGACGTGATCAATACAAGGCATACTCCTATCAATACAAGGCACGATGTGATCAATACAAGGCACACTCCTATCAATACAAGGCACGACGTGATCAATACAAGGCACACTCCTATAAATACAAGGCACGATGTGATCAATACAAGGCACACTCCTATCAATACAAGGCACGATGTGATCAATACAAGGCACACTCCTATCAATTCAAGGCCCACTCCTATTAATACAAGGCCCACTCCTATCAATACAAGGAATGATGTGATCAATACAAGTGTGCATTAAATTGCTGGCAAACGTCTAAAATAATTCACCATCATAATTTCTTGGGGAAATGAGTGACAACCAATAGGGCCGAATCATGTAGTATTTTCTCTTCCAGGGGACAGATGTCCAATATTAACAACAAACCACCACAGAGAATGTCCATTGAATTTCCAGCCTAGTTTTCAAGTCAGTGAGTGAGTGAGTGATTGAGCTTCAAGCAGTTTTGTTTGTTTGTTTAACCCCGCACTCAGCAATATTCCAGCTATATGATGGCAGTCTGTAAATAATCAAGTCTGGCCCAGACAATCCAATGAGTGATATCATGAGCATTGAGATACGCAATTGAGATACGATGACATGCATCAACCAAGTCAGTGAGTCTGACCACCCGATCCCTTTAGTCGCCTCTTACGACAAGCATATTCGCCTTTTACGGCAAGCATGGGTTGCTGAAGACCTATTCCAACCCAGGTCTTCATGGGTCAGTATGTCAGTTATTTACACAAACTTAGTGTAGAAGGAAAGCCCATGTAATGCAGGGGGAGAAGTGTACGACTTTGTTGAAACCTAAAAGCTGACATAGCTCCTACAGCAGATGGCAAAGGGAGACAACTCCACATCTAGATTCTGATACCTCAACATGTTCAAGAACAGTTCAGCTCAAAGTTCATTTAAACGTATATTCATTCACTGCTACGGAACTCTCACCTCTTCAATGCTTGTTTTGACCTGTTCAGCAAGTTTCAACAACATATTTGTTGTTCTGCTTTCTGTTGTTTGTAAACAACCAATGCGGATCACATCTAAAACAGATGAATACAAGAGTCATCAGAAAGATGACATATCCCCCCGGCAGCTGTCTGTAAAGTAGCCACAAGTAAATGTGCAATTCTGTATGTAATGAGTCAAGAGTTGAATGTTCTTTAAGAAGCATACATTGTTTACCAACAAAAGATCCACCATAGTTGCATCCATATGAAATGGAAAGTAAAACGTGTGTTTCTGTGGGTTTTTTTAATGCAAACAAATGACAAATTACAAGAAACAATTACTAAACAAGCGTATAGTCAACGAAGTCATCTATATCCCCCGCCTAAACTTAAATCCAAAATGTTGCCATGGAAACGTAAAAAATAAAAACTTCTAAAATTCTTAAATAGCAAAAGGCACAACTTCAGAATGTGACTGATAAATATACAAAGTTTCGATCAAATACACTGAATTGTCTTCAAGTTCTGCCCTGGAAAAGAGAATCAATACAGACGGACGGACAGACAGATTGGCTGATCGCTGTATATAGATTATATGCCGGGGGGATAATAAGTGATGAGAATAATTGCAGAATATGAAGTACAATTTATCATTTTCTAAATTACAACATTTCTTTAGGTTAGTGAGTGAGTTGGGTTTAACACCGCTTTTAACAGTATTCCAGTTATATCACGGCGTGTCAGCTTAATGTGGGAGGAAAGCCTCAAGTGATGCAGGTCTCAGACGTTTACCAGTTCAGTGAAACCACGAGCACAGGTATGGTGCCGACAAACCTATAAACATAATCAGGGCGAACCGGGATTCAAACCCACAATCATAGGTTTCTGGCGTGTCCAAGGGACGCAACTCTTAACTGGGAGTTTTCTGATACAATGTTGTTTGTTTCTCACACCACACTCAGCAATCTTCCAGCTTTGACGATGGCCTATAAATAATCAAGTCTGGAGAAACTAGTGATTGATATTATGAGCAAAGATCCACGCAGTGGGGGAATGCTGGCCCGGCAAGCCCAGCACATTCCCAGTCGTCTCTTGCAACCAGCAAATATTAAACGGGACATTTTCCAATCCGAAATCCCCACACTTGAGACTGCCTCCACGGTCCGGAGAGCGGAAGGTCTGGGGTTCGAAGACTGGTCGGCTCGGAGTCAGTATACTGTGTCTGAGTAGGGTATTCATGTTAAACTGTGGCATGGTATCTCAGTGAGCTGGCACTATAAATCGGCATCAGTCCGTACTAGTACAAGCAGCCACACACACACACACACACACACGTGCATGCACGTCGCCTGATAAGTGAAAAAATCCTGGAGGCAACACTTGAGCACCCAGTCAGAAATAAATATTGAACATGTTCAATAAGTATTCTGGAAGTCGTAAATCATCCGATCCCGAGGGGTACATGGTGCGACATTCATACCAACCGGAATCAATGTTTACACTTGTCTTGAATAAAACCAAATCAGAGTTACTTCCCTTTACCCAATGCATTTGGAAAGACATCGGTTCAATCAGAACCCCGCCTAAGATCGGGCTGAAGGGAAATGCTAGCATTTAATGTAAGGTAAGATAAACAATGTTGATCTATTACCCATACATACATACAGCCCAAACACATATCTTTTTGGATAAGCTAAGGAAATGAGGCACTGTATACCTCCTGGAAGACAAATAAGCCCAACCATCCTGCTTGATCATTTGTTTGTTTGTTTGTTTGTTTAACGCCACACTCAATATTCCAGCTATACAACAGCAGTGTGTAAATAATCGAGTTATTTACAGACTACCATCACATAGCTGGATATTGCTGAGTGTGGCGTTAAACAACAAACAAACAAACAAACAAACAAAAGATAGAAATCTTGCCACACCATCTTAAGACCTTTTTAAATCTTACCATATGGGGGATTCAGCAGAAACGACGGCGTTGTTCGGAGGACAAACTCTAAACAACACATGAGCAACAACACAGCATGATTCAGATCTTGGTTGTCAACGAGGAAGTGATCTGAAAGACAAACACTAGTTTAGACACTTATGACAACTGAACAAGGTAAATTCAGAGGGTCTTTGAAATTCTCTGAAGACAAAGAAGGTAATTCACTAATATATTTTATCCGAAACAATACCCTCGGCATCTAAGTGTCCGGAACTTATTTGAACCAAACCGTAATAATCTTAACCATGCCACTGGCGCTGTCAAACAGGATTCAGTGGTCCCGCTGGCTTTTGAAACTAAAAATTACCAGTCCCCCCTAATTTTTGCCAGTCCCAACTTTCAACAAATAAAAAAATGTCTGAAAATTATATGGTTTTAATTCTTTCAACATCATGTTCAGTGCAAAGATGTCATCTCTGAAGTAAGTAACTTAGTGAGATCTTTACGTCTTTCACACAAACTTCAGTCACAATTTTCTCTCTTTTTTAATATTTCGAGACCAAGTTGCTACAAATGGATATTTAACCTAGAAATAGACAAGGGGAAACCCTGATGGTAACCATGGTAACAGACAAGCTGACTTTGTTCGAATAATGTACTTATATCAATATCACCGATGTTTTGTTCAACAACAAAGATATAAGGTACTTTATTTGCCGGTACACAGGGACTGGCAGTCACATGAATTACCGCTCCAAGCCTAATTTTACCTGTAAAAAAACAGGTAATTACCGGTAAAACAAGTATTTGTCACAAAGTGACGAAATGTCCCCCGCCTGTATATACACCATAGTACCAAATATGAAGACAATTTAGTTCTTGAGATATTGCGGCAACACCGTTTTCCAACTCCAAAAACAGATTTGCCTGCTGTGACCTTGAAAATGGGGTCAAGGTCACCAAAACCGACTGGTGTCTGCGGTGTCTGTATATACACCATAGTTCCAAATATGAAGACAATCCAGTGTTTAGTTCTTGAGATATCGTGGCAACACCGTTTTCCAACTCCAAAAGCAGATTTGCCTGCTGTGACCTTGAAAATGGGATCAAGGTAACCAAAACCGACTGGTGTCTGCGGAGTCTGTATATACACCATAGTTCGAAATATGAAGACAATCCAGTGTTTAGTTCTTGAGATATCGTGGCAACACCGTTTTCCAACTCCAAAAGCAGATTTGCCTGCTGTGACCTTGAAAATGGGATCAAGGTCACCAAAACCGACTGGTGTCTGCGGAGTCTGTATATACACCATAGTTCCAAATATGAAGACAATCCAGTGTTTAGTTCTTGAGATATCGTGGCAACACCGTTTTCCAACTCCAAAAGCAGATTTGCCTGCTGTGACCTTGAAAATGGGATCAAGGTAACCAAAACCGACTGGTGTCTGCGGAGTCTGTATATACACCATAGTTCGAAATATGAAGACAATCCAGTGTTTAGTTCTTGAGATATCGTGGCAACACCGTTTTCCAACTCCAAAAGCAGATTTGCCTGCTGTGACCTTGAAAATGGGATCAAGGTCACCAAAACCGACTGGTGTCTGCGGAGTCTGTATATACACCATAGTTCCAAATATGAAGACAATCCAGTGTTTAGTTCTTGAGATATCGCGGCAACAAACAGGTGGGACGTACGGACGGACAGTCGTGAATACTATATCCCCCGCTTCGCGCTTTCGCGCGGCGGGGGACAATAACCCAGAAACATTGAAGGTAGAGGGTACAATTATATCTCACTTTTTGTATGCAGGAAGATCGTCCAACACAGCTTTTTCCTGAATGAAACTCCTTCAGTCTCAGGCACCGGCGGCATCACATTCTCACGGAAATATACATTTTCTCTGAAAACAAGAACAATTGAAATCAGGGCTCGACGAACACTCTTGCAAACTAGACAAAGGCTTGTAAAAATTTATACTTGCCTCGAGGACAAGATATAGGACGATACACATACCAAACAACTACCTTTATGAATTATGTGTTAAATTTGGGGATGAAAAATCTAATCGAGAAATCAATAATTAGGTGCGAGCGACAATTTGTGATTATAAAAAATTAATGTTGACTAGTTACTTCTTTCTTATATCCAAAAACTCTAATGCTGTAAATAATACAGAAACATGATCAATGTTTTCAAAATTGTCCATTAGTGTAATGAACATCGGTCCTACGAATGTCCTACCATGGAAGTCAACAAAATAACAGGAGATTTGCATATTTCTGTTTAGCTTTAGCCGGATTTAACCTGGCCTGCTCTGAGGCCAATATTCATCCCCAAGTCGGAAATATTCCCAAATTGTAAGATTACTGTATAACCATATACTGTAATACACTTTTCAAATGCATGCAAGTGTATGTGTGTATCTTCTTGTACTAGTCCGGACTGATGCCGATTTTATAGTGCTAGCCCACTGAGATACCTTGCCGCAGAGACCTGTGAAGATTCCGGGGTAGAATAGGTCTTCAGCAACCCATGCTTGCCGTAAAGAGAGACTATGCTTGTCGTAAAAGGCGACTAATGGGATCGGGTGGTCAGGCTTGCTGACTTGGTTGATCCCAATTGCGTGGATCGATGCTCTATGATATTAATCACTGGAATGTCTTGTCCAGACTCGAATATTAACAGACCGCCATCATATAGCTGGAATATTGCTGAGTGCGGTGTTAAACAAGAAACAAACAAACAAACAAACAAATTCTAATGACTACTCACTCATTGGAATCCTCATCGGTCTTGGGATCTTCTCTAAATACAGACCGGCATAGTCTACAACACAAACATCACACATACAAACTGACTCGTCAGTAAAACCCAGGCGCATAACTCCTCTGACTAATAACTGTTTAATTGTCATTCTCAAAGTGGGTGACTTAATATAAAAACGTACAACTTTATGGATAACAATTTCTGGTTCATTGCATTTAGCGCCATTTTGACATAGATTCTTGCAATGTGCATTCTGATTCCAGCTTGATGACGAATCTACATAGAAACATCACTGAAGGCAATCAGCCAGAAGCTGTTATCCATGAAGTGAGAAAGGTGTTCAGACACAATTATCTTAATATCAGAAACCTGTGCACCTTAACTATTCCCAAACATATAACATTAAGCAAATTTATTTCATATAATTTTTTATCGTTATAATCCATTTTGTCTGGGTTTGCGATCTGGTTCATTTGTAAATATTTTTTTTATTTGATGTTTACACAATATACGGCTTTTCCATTGGACAAGAGGTCGATCACATGACGTTTATAACTGTATGAACGACACAATTTGACGTACATATTTTTTTAACGAGACCGTGTTCTTGAAATGACGTAAACACTGACAAACTACTTCCACATTCCTGGGAATTCCCAAGCACGAAAACATACATAAGTGTTCTTTCCGATCATTTAGAACATTTAATCTTGATCTCAGCGTTTCAGTATACATTGAGAAACGTCAGAGAGCTTGACTGCATGAATGTTCACGACTATCCTCACTACGGCCCATCCTAATGAACAAACGAAGAAATGCACATCCAAACTATCATAGTATCGACTGAATCCGTGTCTATAGGCTGACAGTGACCATCTAAAGCAATCTATGACTTGACCTTAGTGTCTGTTTGACGCATCTTTAATCGCCTTTCAATGATCGGCCAGTTGATCAATGATGACTAACACATGTAACCGCCACAGGTTCATTAACAACTCCAGAAATCTCTTGCGTCACGTTTATTGTGTCGGCCATTTTGACATCTTGTACTTGATGTAAATGTATTACGACGCGCTGCCATTGTGACTGACTTACTGAGGTAGTTCTTTACAGACCTTTCTCATCTAATGGTGATATAATTTGAACACACGTGTTTCCCAAGATGTTTCTGAAGAGCAAGTTCTGCATCCATATGCTCATGTCACCTCTATTTTTGAGGAACCATTTTATTCCGCGGTATAGCTGGTTGTTGTATGGCTGTCAGTGTAAACATGACGTCACAAGGTTCATACAGTTTGGCCCTCACTCTATGAAGGTTCATACACAAATGAACTCTGTCTGTTACCTTTGTGTAACAGCTGTGAGACAAGCATGACATCACTCTAGGACTAGGACAGGATTTGACTGGAATGTCATTGATTAGGACAATTGATTGCGGTCATCAACTTTTGATACAAGACTCCTGGGTAGCATCAGCACTTCAACACAACCTTCCCAACATTGTGAGTCCTGGAAAAATTAACTGGGCCCTGTTCCACAAAGCAATCTTAGCGCTAAGTCTGTCGTAAGTCTATGTTAACGGATGTGAGCAGGTTTTCCCCCCAAAAAAAGAGGAAAAGTCTAGGGGGGTCTGGGGGCATGCCCCCCAAGAATTTTTTTAAACATTTGATTGCATTTTAAGCAATTTCTTGCAGTTTGGACAACATTCACACCAAGAAATGTAATAAGTCCATGGCAAAAGTCAATAAGTCAAATAAACAAGATGGCAGATGCAATAAAATTTCGAAGTTAAATCAGTACTTTTAAAAAATCGGGCATAGCTTCCGCGCACCTGGCTACCTGCCAGAACTGGGAGCAATACTGCCATAAACTTCAACCCCCATCCCCCAGACACGAGGACAACTGTCACAAGCGTGCAATGTCTGACCCTTTCCCCACGTTGAAGCATATTGAAAAAAACATACCTTGTACTTACTTACCTTTTGTTGAAAAAAACAAAACACCATTGCAAACATAAGACATTTATACAACGTATATCCCATGTTATGGGTTTTTTTAAGCTGAAGAAGCATTCACAGTTTCTCGCTAATCACATGAACAACTTTAACACATCTCATTCACTTACAGGCTAAAAGACAACTTTATCCCCCCCAAAAAGCATACTGAATGACAGGTGTTTCAAATTTTGGATATACCTGTCAAGAAACATATTTATACCAGTGCAAAGTCCCCAAGTATGACTTTTGTTATGAATAAGAGCCTATTTTGTCTTTTTTTTAGATATTGTTTTTTAAACTGTTACCTACTTTTCAAATGTGTGGAAGAGGGCAGACACGATCAAATAGTTTTTCTCCAGACTCAGTAGATGCAGCCGGACCGACTCGCTGACGGCACAACTCTCCTTCAGCACCCGCATCCTCTTGAAGAACTCGGTGATGCTGGAACAAGTGATCCGAACAAAGCTGTTTACCATGTGTAACAGTTTTGGTTGGTTTGTTGTTTAACGCCACACTCAGCAATATTCCAGCTATATGACGGCGGTCTGGAAATAATCGAGTCTGGACCAGACAATCCAGTGATTAATATCATGAGCATCGATCCACGCAATTGGGATCGATGACATGCATCAACCAAGTCAGCGAGCCTGACCACCCGATCCCGTTAGTCGCCTTTTCCGACAAGCATAGTCGTCTTTAACGGCAAGCATGGGTTGTTGAAGACCTATTCCACCCCGGATCTTCACGGGTACCATGTGTAACAAGTAGAGGTGGGACGATTCACCGATGCATCGTTATTTTTTACCTCTTGACACAAGTATCAATCACAGTGGCACGGGGCGGTCAGGTAGCCTATTGGTTAAAGCGTTCGCTTGTCACGCTGAAAACCCGGGTTTGATTCTCGATACGGGTACAATGTGTGAAGCCAATTTCTGGCTTCCCCCGCTATGATATTGCTGGAATATTGCCAAAAGCGGCGTAAAACCACTCACTCACTCACAGTGGCACCCTAAGTCAAAAATATTGTTACATACCTAACAAGTTTGTTGTTATAACTGTTTCATCAAACAATAATATAGTATCAAAGGTTAGTAGTGCAAACAAAATTATTTCTTCCGTGCGTCATACTTGACACTACCAACTGTAAATCGTCAGTGTGCCAGGTATTTGACAATCTTGTCTATGAAAAAGATGGCTTACGCATCACCGATAAGAGCACATGTAACTAGCTTGAAACATATCTGAGGTGAGGTGAGGTGAAATTGGGTTTAACGTCGCGTCCAAGATTAGAGCACTTATATAGCGACGTGCATGTACGTGAGTGTGTTTTGTGTGGCTGCTTGTACTAGTCTGGACTGATGCCGATTTATAGTGCTAGCTCACTGAGATACCATGCCGCAGTTTAACATGAATACCCCACTCAGACACAGTATACTGACTCCGAGCCGACCAGTCCTTGTTTTAGCCCCTTAATGCTGAGCGCCAGACAGGGTAACAACAAGTACCATCTTTTAACGTCTTTTGGTATGACGCGGCCGGAGATCGAACCCCGGACCTTCCGCTCTCCGGGCGGACGCTCTACCACAAGACCACGGAGGCGGTTGAAACATATCTGATCGTGTAGAAGGTATTGTGATAGTATCGGCTCGCACAGTTGGTGTATTGTCCAAGCCCTGGTATTAAGGGAGAGCGCATCCTCAATCACCCATCTCTGTTGGGGGTGCCGGGGGGTATCGGGGGGTGCAGAGGTTGGGGGAGGTGGGGAGTGTGGTGAGTTAGTCCAGAGCTCCAGATAAGCTTTTGGGGTTGTGGGTATTTTACCCATGCATTTTAAAACCATTGGGTATCATTAATTCTATCTGGGTATTCAAATTTCTGTTTCCCACTAGTTTTTACACATGTGGGTATTTAAGTTAAATGTTTAAAAACACTATTCATCCAGTCCCTGCAAACTGGTGTCGTGTGGGTTTGAGAGCTTTATAGGACTCAAAAATACCACGATACTTCCACAAGAAAGTGTGATGGCAAATGATCATGATGTGACTGTCATCGTGGAGTTTGGCAAGGTTGACAAGGTTTATAATTTCAAAATAAGTTGCTGATTTGCTAATCGAATACGCAGGGTTACTTCACAATATTTTGATGATACACACAAATTTTATTTGTATTATTGTATCGTATCTGTAATGTTCGTTGCATATTTGATACGCTTGGATTTTATTTGACTGCGTATTTCTGCATTTCTGATGCATATTTTACGCAGATACGCAGCTTATCTGGAGCTCTGTGTCCACACTCGGTACTCAGTACATCCTTTCTACCTCTTGGATTCACATTTCAGTAAACCTACACAACCCCCGGATCCCGTGGTTCTCACCATCTCCAATTACCTGCCCTTGGTTTTGATTGGTCATGCTACTCAGTCTAACGGACCAATCAGAATGCAAGTTACCAACCTGCCTCAATGCTGGGTACGGGATATCAACAACATGGCGTCCAGTCCGGATCATTAGCCATATTGAAATTGCAAATACAAAGCCCTGAATAACCTTGAACCCCTCATTCATATCAGTGTTAGAAATTGGCACTACAGTCTGTTTGACTCCAAATGAGAACGATGAATTACAAAATAACTCGAAATCCAGAAAAGTGTATGAAACATCAATACGGTACTTGACCATGAATACCCTGTACTGAATTTTGTTTATTTTAAGACCCATGACGGATGAAGTTCTTTAAGAAACTATCATGTAATTTTGTATAGAAACGTGTACATGACACGTAGGGGGGACAAACCGTGGAAGGAACAGCGCAAGCACGCATGCACTGCACGTTCTGTGGTAGGGGAAATGACAGAGCGTTAGAGTCCTGTAGTCCTTGCCAAACTGGCCAATAGCTAAGGTATCATAAGGACCAGTACAAACTTGCCATTTTTAAGGGTTTTGCTATGTGTTATCATTATAAGGACTAGTGGACTAAATATGTTAGTTTCTAACCCTGCATATCATAGTAAAATGTATCTGAACAAAATTTCAGCTTAATCCATCAAGCAATTTCAAAGAAGAAAAGAATATTAAACATTAATGGACGATGACAGATGACTGGCAGTGACGTAAGTATGTACAGCATGTCAGGTCAGGTGAGCTAAATACTGCAAGATTGAGTACAGAAGCTTGTGAGGGAGACTTACTTGAGGTTGGTGTGTTGCAGCAGGCTAGTGAGGGTGATGCAGGGGTTGCCGTCCAGGTAGCCACACTGCAACTGGGGGTCCAGCGGACCGTACGGCATCCTGAAATCAAGGATGCAACTTAAAATAAAATGTTTATAATCCGGAACAGTGAGTGAGAGTTTTAATACCACTTTGAATTGTATTCCATTACAGTTCTATTATGGCACATCAGCTTAATGTGGGAGGAAAGCCCGAAATGATGCTGTCTCAAAACCAATGTTTGTTTGTTGTTTGACATCGCACTCAACAACAATCCAGCTATATGGTAGCAGCCTGTAAATAATCGAGTTTTAACCAGACAATCAAGTGATTCATATTGTGAACGATTCATGCCATGAAAGTGATGACACCATCAATCAAGTCAGCAAGCCTGGCCTACACTCCTACAACCAACACCAGTTGCTGGGGACCTATTCCACCCCGGAATGCCTATCAACTATGTCAGCACGTCTGACCTCCACTCCTACAACCAACACCAGTTGCTGGGGACCTATTCCACCCCGGAATGCCTATCAACCAAGTCAGCAAGCCTGGCCTACACTCCTACAACCAACACCAGTTGCTGGGGACCTATTCCACCCCGGAATGCCTATCAACCAAGTCAGCAAGCCTGACCTACACTCCTACAACCAACACGGGTTGCTGGGGACCTATTCCACCCCGGAATGCCTGTGGGTTGTGAAATGTATGAGTGTAAGCACTGTGTGACAAACTTGGTGAATCTGTGATCTGAAGGCGACTATGCTTGCCGTAAAAGGCGACTATGCTTGTCATAAGAGACGACTAACATGATCAGGTGGTCAGGCTCGCTGACTTGGTTGATGCATGTCATCGATCACAATTACGTGGATCGATGCTCATGATATCAATCACTTGATTGTCTGGTCCAGACTTGATTATTTACAGACCGCCATCATATAGCTGGAATATTGATGAGCGTGGCGATAAACAACAAACAAACAAACAAACTGTGATTTGAACTTGGAATCCTGAAGAGACACAGCTCTGCACAACGAATTGCGTTTGCCACCAGCCCAAATAACAATAAAATGTAAGGATATCCTTTAAGAGCTAGAATTGCTATGACTTGCCTGGTGGACTGAACCCGCTGTAGTATACACTTATATCGATGGGCTGAACCCATAGAGATGTTGACAGAACTTACCTGGTATCCACCATCGCCATATACAAGGCACATGTAAACAGGTCGAAGTAGGAAGACTGAAAAAGAAAGAGTAGGTCAATCAGATTTGGTTTAACATGTTTAAATAACACAACTATAGCTCAAGCATATATCTCATCTTTAACTCAAGCATGCCTCATCTTTAACTAAAGTACTTCTCATCTTTAACTCAAGCATATATCTCATCTTTAACTCAAGCATGCCTCATCTTTAACTCAAGCATGAGCCTCATCTTTAACTCAAGCATGCCTCATCTTTAACTAAAGTACTTCTCATCTTTAACTCAAGCATATATCTCATCTTTAACTCAAGCATGCCTCATCTTTAACTAAAGTACTTCTCATCTTTAACTCAAGCATATATCTCATCTTTAACATGTTTAACTCAAGCATGTCTCATCTTTAACTCAAGCATGTCTCATCTTTAATTCAAGCATGTCTCGTCTTTAACTCAAGCATATATCTTATCTTTAACATGTTTAACTCAAGCATGTCACATCTTTAACTCAAGCATGTCTCATCTTTAACTCAAGCACGTCTCATCTTTAACTAAAGTACTTCTCATCTTTAACTCAAGCATGTCTCGTCTTTAACTCAAGCACGTCTCATCTTTAACTAAAGTACTTCTCATCTTTAACTCAAGCATGTCTCATCTTTAACTCAAGCATATATCTCATCTTTTATATGTTTAACTCAAACATATATCTATCTTTAACTCAAGCACTTCTCATCTTTTACTCATGCACTTCTCATCTTTAACTCGAAGCATATATCTCATCTTTAACTCAAGCATATATCTCATCTTTTACATGTTTAACTCAAACATATATCTATCTTTAACTCAAGCACTTCTCATCTTTAACTCAAGCATGTTTCATCTGTAACTCAAATACATCTCATGTTTAACTGAAGCTTGTCTCAACTGTAATTTAGGCACATCTCACCTGACCATCCTCAGAACTGCTTCCAGTCATCAGACTTTTCAGCTGGACGAGCGCCTTTTTCTTCACTTCTTCTGAGAGTTCGAGCTCCTCACACAACTTGAGAAAGTCAGTATCCATTTTCTGAGCTGAAGGCACCTTGATGTTTTCTTTAGTCATATTTGTGTTCTGACTGTAAACAGAGAGGTGTACAGTATGAGTTCAATGTTTGTTTGTTGTTTAACGCCGCATTCAACAATATTCCAGCTATATGATCATGATGAAGGTGGTCTGTAAATAATCGAGTCTGGACCAGACAATCCAGTGATTGACATTATGAGCATCGATCTAAACAATTGGGATATGATGACATGCATCAACTAAGTTAGCAAGCCTGACCACCCGAGCCTGTTAGTCACCTCTTGTTACAAAAAATACAAGCACGGGTTGCTGAAAACCAATTCTAACCCAGATCTTCAAGGGTCTGGAGTTTGATAATCACAAGACACTAACTTTCGAATGGTTTCAAAATAAAATCCTACGCCATTTTCTACCAACAAACAGTAGAATTATTAAAATGGTCAAAATGGACTAACGCATGTTTTGTTTGTTTGTTGTTTAACGAGATACGATGACATGCATCAACCAGGTCAGCGAGCCTGATCACCCGATCCCTTTAGTCGCCTCTTACGACAAGCATAGTCACCTTTTACGGCAAGCATGGGTTGCTGAAGATCTATTCTACCCCGGAAACTTCACCGGTCTAGCTATTGTTCAGGCTCTACCCCTAAAGACACCACTTCACACCTATTTCAGATTGTAGCAAGGCAATGCCTATATTGCAAGAACTTCAAAGTTGGGTTCAAGATAATATTGAATTTAAACTTCATTTTTCCATGTGCTTGCACCTGTGGTCTAGTGGTAGAGCATCTACTCGGATGGCTGAAGATTGGGGGTTTAATCCATGGCCGTTGACCAAAAGACGTGAACGGTTCATTCCTCACCAGTCGATATCGTGTAGATTACGGAAAGAAACGAGTGTGTCAAACATCATCGGGATCACCCGTAAGTTTCTGTAGACAAAACTTCAGCGACACTATGCCTACCCGTAACCTTTATAAGGTATAATTGCACTAAATTTAGCAATGTGTCCGTAGCTCAGTCGGCTAGCTGTTGGACTGACAATCAGAAGGTCACGAGTTCGCGTCGGAAAGATTCCACACAAAATGGTTGCTTTTCTTCAAGACATGTGACCTACGGCAGAGATCGTCCTCACGAGAAGTTGTGGTGCTGTATTCTAAACGTGCTCCATTATCTGGAACCCTGATCGACGTAGGACGTTGATGTGTTCTGCTAAATTTGATTTTTATGAACAAGGAGCAAGATCGAGTGCTCATTTCAGAGCATTGAAAAGTTTGAGTCTAACTCCAGCAAAACAGTTTGAACAAATCAATCACAAGAACTTACCAATTCATTCATCCACAATGATCCTTGGATGCAGAATCTGGGATGAAATTCTTATAACTTATGACACAGACAGTAATTTCACACACTCAAAATACCCAAACTCTCAGCTGATTGCTGACATAGCATTCATCAACTTGTAGAATTTAGGTTTTTAACACTGTAACAGTATGATTTCTGATTAAGCAGGCATAAATAGCTACAGTTATGTACATAAATCGAGTTGTTTTGTCGTCTGTCCTTTTAATTTTAAACTTATAAACATAAATTTCAGATAGTGAGTCATTCAAAGAACGTATGTAAGTGCACTAGGCTATAGGCCGAGTGCAGTGTAGCCAAACTGTTTCTGGCCTAGCTTTAACTCTTTGTCCGAATAATCAAAACCAACCCGTCCAGAAACTGACAAAATTCCCTACCTTCAGCAATCAGATTCATTCTACACAGGGTTAGAATATTCTCTTCCAAGTTGAATTATTTTTTACAAAGAGATCGGTGAAAATTTGTCAAAACAAATAGGGGAAGTAACTCTATTTACTAGGAAGCGAAAGAGTTCACTCGATCTGCGGGTTATTATTTTGTCCCTTTTAAATTGCAACTCAAAACATAGACGATCAACGTTAATTAGTAAAAATACAAGATAGGCACATAAATAAAACAGATCAGAATGAAAGCCTATTTCTGAAGCGCACTCGGCTATTTAGTAATATGATGCAAGCAAAATATTTAGTTCACAGCAGTGGGATACAATTTTCACCAACCCAAATCCAATAAAACGGAGGCTAGGGATATACGATCGCGATCGGCTTACCTGCTGTTGTGAAGACACTGAGACCGTTACATAATCACTCGGTTTAATACCAGTTGATTACAACTTGATAACCGGTTGTAAAAACGACAGGTCGAAAGTGGGCAGGTCACATATCGACAAGGGTTGTGCCAGAAAATCAACAGTGCTCGCCTGGGATAAAACCTACCCCGAATCCTGTGGACTAGCGTCTCTCTCTTCTAATTCAGTCGCCATATCGATGACTCGTACTACAATCAATCATACGAGGTTCGATTTCGTGCATCTGATCATCGATTAGTCCGAAATGTTTACCGTGAATCGGCACATCACAAACTTCATCCATGAAAGATTACCCGCGAAATTGTGGGTTACTACAGAAATAGGACATTTTGATTGGCTACAGCTGACCCACGCGTGCGGGGTCTCCTGAGGTCAAAGTTGATTTCGCGCTATAATCGAGATTCTGGAAGCTGATTGGTTCATTTTTGTTACTGTGTTTACTACGTTGAACAGAAACAGGTCGATACATGCACATAGCCTGCGACGTGGGTTTGTAACTGTGAAGCCGTTGTTTTGTTGCTGCATGTTGTCTGATACTTGTAATATTTAGCATCATCAAACGTTTCATATTTTATTGTCTTTAGGTAACATCATTGTGAGTCTGAACAATTTGTTCAAACAAGCTCGTCATAGTAGGTTTCGTTGGCCTTTCAATTTCAAGCTGCCTTAACCTATCGATTAGAGTCACAATTAATATGAATTATAAGTATATGATCCACAATGTAAAGTGAACTTTTATACTTCAATCGTTTCCTTCTGGTAACTGGATATTTAGTCCTGCTTTTTCTGATTCAATCGTTCATTCATTCTTTCTGATTGCATTGTTTTTTTAGTTTGTTCACCCCTTTCTCTCTCGCCATTTTACTATTTACTGTTTTTTTTCTGATGTTTTACATCAATAATTTATTTATTAATATCAATAATTCGATTTCGTTTTTACATGTTTATCAAATCTATGTACTTTTTATTAATATCAATAAATCGAATTCTTGAATATTGTCCAGCTAGGGCGTTAAACAAGAAACAAACAACCACTCAAATCAATAATCGGTCCAATACCCACTTGGTTGTCAAGGAATTCAAGGTGAGGTCACGTTGAGACGATGTCGTATTGACCAAAGTCGGATTATGCATGGACATCTGCCGAAACCCCACGAAGATGAACCTCCTTAAATGCATCTCTTGTGATGAAAGTTTCAATGTCAAGCATATTTTGTTTGTTTGCGTGGATTTTGAGGTCAGTCGCAAGGGATTCGTATTATAAAGCAGCCAAATTACTTTTACTTAACATTTTATGGGAATAATCAGGTATGACAGGGAGTACTCTACTCAGCGCCAATAAACGGTTCTCTTTGCTGTTAGACTGGATTAATGTTCGATTAAATGCATCTTGGGTAACCCTCACGGAAGCAATTTTCTCTCTCTTAAATACCACTGGCAGGAGGTCGCATTAATTTGGAGACGCTTCAGTTTTAATTAAGATTGACAGTATTTCATTCTATTTAAATATACGCTTAACAGATATAAAATATCCTTATCAAATGTGAAGTGGTATAATTTGTTCTCTTCGCTTTCTACACTCTTCATAAACATCCTGTGACATCATCTCCGGCCGGGTTATTCTTCATCGTAAAAATCGTCCTTACACAAAATCCAAGGGGTATTATGGGTCTAATCCCTAAATATATTATATCTTCTCATAAACTTTCTTAAAATATTTTCCGCAGTTGGGATTCGAACCCTTGTACGAGGCATCACATTTCGCTATTGATTCTCTAGTCGTTATCGCTCTGGCCACGGGGATTATGAATATTCTTTGAAGTCTTACTTTGGAGTGTTAACCATAACTCCCTGTGTGTTATATGTAAACTTTTTTTTAAATTAGCAAAATAAACGGATATGTGAAATAGCATCTGAAAGATTCAAGCAAATGCACGTTACAGCCCATGACACACCAGGTAAATTTTTTCGGTCAACTTCTTGCCCCGTGTGTCACCCTCCACGAGAGAGAGAGAGAGAGAGAGAGAGAGAGAGAGAGAGAGAGAGAGAGAGAGTTTGGTTTAAAGCCGCTTTTAACAGTATTCTGATCAGTCATCACGGCGTATCAGCTTAATGTGGGAGGAAAGCCCGAAGTGATGCAGGTCTCAGAAGTTTACTTCTTCGGTGAAACCCACGAGCACGGGTATGGTGCTGACAAACCTAGAAACATAATCGGGGCGAACCGGGATTCGAACCCACAATCATAGGTTTCTGGCGTGCCCAAGGGACGCAACTCTGCACAGCGAATCGCGGCGCCTTAGACGACTGGGCCACCCGTGCCCCCGTTTTTAGTGTGAACTTGAAAAGCTAATTACAACACATATTGCAATATTTGACTGAAAAAAACGCTGGGGTGGGGGTCATTAAACGAGTAGCAAATAATTTATTCTAGCAAGTCTACGTCTAAAATCGATACAGACAAAAACGAATCGTGTGTCGTATCGTCATATGAAAACTCACGATACACCGGTACACCGATCGTTTCACCTCTATAATTCCAGGGGCGGTCGGGTAGCCTAGTGGTTAAAGCGTTGGCTCGTTACGCCGAAGACCCGGGTTCGATTCCCGACATGGGTACAATGTGTGAAGCCCATTTCTGGTGTCCCCCGCCGTGATATTGCTGGAATATTGCTAAAAGCGGCGTAAAACCATACTCACTCACTCTATAACTCCAGGCCGATATCTGTGCACCCAGAAGGTTGGTTTGTTGCTTAACATTTAAAATTGTGCTGTTTTATTGACATGAAAAAGGCGCTCGATAATGTAAACAGAGATTGTTTATGGTTTAAAATATTAAAAAATGGCATAAACGGAAAAAAATAATGTTTGAAGCTGTTAAAAGTTTATACAGCGATGTGAAGTGCGCTGTGAGATTAAATGGTTTGTTTTCACCCTGGTTTAAGGCCCCACGGGGACTAAGTGAGTGAGTGAGTATAGTTTTACGCCGCTTTTAGCAATATTCCAGCAATTTCACGGCGGGGGACACCAGAAATGGGCTTCACACATTGTACCCATGTAGGGAATCGAACCCGGGTCTTCGGCGTGACGAGCGAACGCTTTAACCACTAGGCTACCCGACCGCCCTCCACGGGGACTAAGGCAAGGATGTCTTGTCTCTCCATTATTGTTCTCTATTTACATTAACGACCTGGCGGCAATATAAAAAAAACGTGAATTGTGGTATTGACGTCAATGATTTAAATATTGGTATTATGTTATATGCTGATGATATTTTATTATTGGCGCCCGCGGAGGATAAACTGCAAAATATGTTAAACGTGGTCAATGAATGGTGTCAAAAGTGGAGACTTGCATTTAATCCCACAAAAACTAAGATTGTTCATTTTAGGCCTACAAACACAAATTGCCCCACAACTAACTTTTTAATTGGTGAAACCCCTTTGAAGTACGGTAACAATTATAAATATATATGCAAGCAGCGATGTCGGGCTTCGTGCGTTATTGAAATATAGTAGCAGATTCTGGTTTACATTCGTGGAAGTTCATTCACAATATCTCACTTGTGTTACACAGACAACTAAAACAATGAATTCGAGTTCTAATTGTCGTAGCTTATAAGGCATTTCCTGTTGTCTTATAAGTCACTTCCGGTATCAGGAAGTATATGAGCACTACTGTATCTGATTATTATTATATGGTGTTTATTAGCAATGTGATACTCAACTGGTCCGTTTTGAGTGAGAAAATATTGTCAGTTTTGGCAATGCTCCAGTTTGGAATTTTTAAATGTGGTAAGTCTATTTGCTTACTTTGCAATTTGAGAGCGCATTAGCCACCAATACGACCGCCAGTAGGAACAGCTGCATCATCCCATTAGTTACACGTCCCATTTGTCATACACATTAAAAGAACATAGGTCCTGGCTGCAGGGATTCGCTGGTCAACCCAAATTTAACAATGGGAGTGATCCAAGAAAAGTAGAAAATTAATCTTGAAGGGTGTGTACTTTATGTACTTATATAAAGATATATACAATAGACTACGGTTATAACAAACTTTAAGAGACCACTAATTTTAATTAATTATAACTGTTCTGGAGAACTATAGCCAGGAACATGAAATGTTCGCTGGGAATACCACTGGGAGTTAACTGGGAGCATTCGTGCGAACGCTGAGTGCTTCGCGGATTTTGTAGTTCGTGTAAATCGTGCGGCACGTGAAATTGCCTATGTATAGCCAAGCTTTGTGAAAATAAAGTCAGTTCGAAAAAAACTGCGTAACAATAACCGTAGTTTGTTATAAGATATGTACAACATATATGCAGACAATTAACAGGACCAAGAACTAGTTCGTTATATCCTTCAGTTTTTGGTAAGCGCGTTCGTCATAAACGTAGTTTATTGTTCATAAGATACTGTAGAAAAGTGAACTTGTAGTTTATTTATATGAAGTAAATGCGCACAAAGACATATATGTTATAAATATTCTTTATTAGCACTGATTGCTTAACTGAACATGAGCTAGATTTGTATGGTAAGTTTGTGTACGCACGACCCTGCTTCCAAGAGGTTAATAAACGTGCTATAGTGCTATGTCACGCTATACTGTTACTGTGGCTCATGCTCCAATATGGACACGATTGACACATAGTCATGGGCACAGGGCACAGGGCACATAATCTGATCGTAGACGTCACATTGTCCGGTATTAAGTTATGAAATAGATATGCCTATTTGAGAAGGCCTAGATCTAGCGGAGAAGGTATTTTTGGAACAGCAATCATCAATATTCAGTCGATTGAAATGCAGTGAACGGGGCTTATTTGTAAATTTAACAACCGCTTCTTTCAGTGTCTTTATTGAACGAGGTTTGCAGTGTCATAAAATCGCTTTGTCTCCCCTACAAAATGGCATTTTCAAAACATGTCAGATCACAGTTTGGCGTACAAAGGACTTGAGATTTGTAACAAAACTTCTCACACAACTTAATCAACAAACGGGCCACAAACAAAGTTAAACTGTAATTCAGCTTGGGGACCTGATAAATGAATAAATCATTCAGAATTAGATGTTGTAATCATTATCAATCGGGATGGACATGGTTTGGGTTCTATAAAAATATCTTTGATGAAACTGGTAAAGAGATTAGACATTAGACATAGGTGATTTGTGTATGGTTGAAGCGGGTAGTATATTTATACATGGAAATCCTGCATTAAATCCAACTGAAAACATTAATCCTCTTCCTACATTTGGTTGTACAATTTGTCTGGTTCTGTTATGCGTTTTACAACTGCCAAGTGGGTG